GACTTGCTGAGCCCCAACCTCCAAGATGGCGAATCGAACTCGACCAGCGTCAGCCGGACGGGCTCAATCCTAAATCTGACCTCCTCAACCCTCTACGGCATTTACAAGCCCACTGCATTCGATAGCTACCGGGATGAGTCCAGCCCTTGGGGCACAGAAGCCCACACACCTGTATCCGAATACCCCCCGGAGCCCTCGCAACAGGCGGCTGTGAAAACCGCGACGGAGCCTCGTGAGTTTGCCTTGCGACGAACGCGTTCGCGGCTCAGCCATGGAATGTTTCGCGGAGTGATTCTGCCCCAGGCGCTGAGCAGTGCGCTGCTATTTGGTTTCGGTATTGTTTACGGGGTGATCACCATCAATCTGCATGACAATCACTGGATCACACCCGTGAAGCTGGAGAATGTCCACTACTACGACTCATGGCAATACCTCGGGTTCTGGGGTTTGGCGGGCATCGCTTTGGGTAACGTTTTGCCTTGGTTGGACAGCTGGCGTGACCGCGAGCTCGTAGAGGCCGACAAGTCCAAGCGCGCGCGCAATGAGGATAATGACCAAGAGCGTACCCCGTCTTGGGTGACTGTGGCACGCAGCGTTGGAGCTTTCGTCGGTATTGCCTTTGCTATGGTATGTTCGAACTTTTTGTTATGTCTGCAGTGGATCTTTGCTAATGTTTTCGATTTTTTTTTTCTTCTTTAGCGACGACTCCCTTGGGAATCCACAACACAGGCCTCCCTGACCCTCGCCATGGCAAACCCCGTCCTCTGGTACCTCATCGACCGAACTTCCACTGGTTTCCTTCTATCGACATTTGTTGGTGTGACCGGGATGAGTGCTGTTTTGGGCCTCAAGCCTGAATTGATCCCTGTCTCTACCGGACCCTCGGTGGGCTCTTCGCTACTGAATGGAACTGGATGGGAAAACACAATCGGAGCCGGAGTCACACAGGAGAGCATTGCGGTTCGCACCTGGGTTGCCAGCGTCATTTTCTGCGCATGCGTCTGCTTTGGAAACATTGGTCGCCAGCTGGCGATCGGAGCTGGCAGCAAGGATACCCTGAAGCCCTGAAGCAAGCGAAGTGGAAGAGGGAATGAATGTATCAATCACATCATAGTCCAGGACAATACTTTGAAATCAGGAGTGACACTATGATTAGTAGTATATGTAATTTGAAATCAACCAAATCTTTACACAGATATTTTTTTCATCGGATAAATAGAAATTGATTGAAAAGAGGCAAGGGAAAAAAAAGTGAGATAAAGCAAACTAAAAAGAAGGCTACGAGGCTTGAGAAATTCTGATTTGTTCGACTCCCAACATTAAAGAGTATTGTGGTTTTCCAAGAAGGATTGTAGTGTCAATCATTGCAGTTCCTGCCATTTGACACGATGGTCAGGCAGATACTGCACCCAAGATCGACTCTGTGTGACTTGCACACTCGGTCTCCATTCTCTATGACGATTTCCTGGCTTCCTAGGACGGATCCTCAGCGGAACGCTTTTTGAGAAGAATGTGATTATTTTGCGTTGTTCATGAAGAAAAAAAAGAAAAGAGGAAATGCGCGAGCCCGCGAAAAGCTTTTGAACCACTGGGTCATGTGACTACTGAGTCATCGTTTACTAGCTTGAGTCAATCAGCAAATCACAGAATCACAAAATCACGTGTTGAAGGTAAGCTCGTGATTTTCATGCCTGAAGTTTGTGGCAGCAAACATCCCACCACCCCGCGCCGATTGCGGCCCCTCCAGCGGGACAGAATTATTTCTTTTCTTCACTTCACCTGTACCCCCGTTGCTATTTGGATTCAGGTATGTGCACCCCATAATCAATTGAATCATCAATTGGAAGCCCTCTTTAACACCTCGGTCTTCTAACAACTCTTAGTGTCGACATCATGTCTCAGAAGTCCGGTAAGGCAATCTTGGCCTTGATATTACTTCCCCGAACTATTGCACCATAGTCTGGGGATCCGCCGATGCACAATACTGATCTTCTCTTCTTTCCCTCCCCAACAGCTATCATCTCCGTCTATGACAAGACTGGACTGCTTGACCTGGCCAAGGGCCTGGTCCAGCAAAAGGTCCGTCTTCTTGCCTCTGGCGGTACTGCCAAGATGATCCGTGAGGCCGGTTTCCCTGTCGAGTAAGTCCCTCTCTAAAGACGTCATTGCCATTTAAAAGATGGGAAAATTCATTCTCATAACCACAAGAATGGCTTTTGAAAGCCTGTGATTGGCATTAGATACTGACCATTTCTTTGCAGGGACGTCTCTGCCATCACCCACGCCCCCGAGATGCTGGGTGGCCGCGTCAAGACCCTCCACCCCGCTGTCCACGGTGGTATCCTCGCCCGTGATATCGAATCCGACGAGAAGGACCTTGCTGAACAGAACATCTCCAAGGTTGACTTCGTCGTCTGCAACCTGTACCCCTTCAAGGAGACCGTCGCCAAGGTAAACGTCACCATCGATGAGGCTGTCGAGGAGGTTGATATTGGCGGTGTCACTCTGCTGCGTGCCGCGGCCAAGAACCACAAGCGTGTCACCATTCTGTCTGACCCCAACGACTACCCTGAGTTCCTCAAGGAGCTCGAGGCTGGTGAGATCACCGAGCCCAGCCGCAAGCTGTATGCCCTCAAGGCCTTCGAGCAGACTGCCGACTACGACTCGGCCATCTCAGGCTTCTTCCGCAAGGAGTACGCAGGCAACGGTGTTTCGCAGCTCGCCCTCCGCTACGGCACCAACCCCCACCAGAAGCCCGCCTCCGCCTTCATGCCCCAAGGCAAGCTGCCTTTCAAGGTCCTGAACGGCTCCCCTGGCTACGTCAACCTGCTCGATGCTCTTAACGCCTGGCCTTTGGTCAAGGAGCTTAAGCAGGCTCTTGGCTTCCCCGCCGCCGCCAGCTTCAAGCACGTCTCTCCCGCCGGCGCTGCTATTGGTGTTCCTCTGAACGAGAAGGAGCGCAAGGTCTATATGGTTGATGACATTAAGGGCATTGAGTCCTCCGGTCTCGCTCAGGCCTATGCCCGTGCCCGCGGTGCTGACCGCATGTCCAGCTTCGGTGATATTCTCGCCCTGAGCGACATCGTCGATACCCCCACTGCCAAGATCATCTCTCGCGAGGTCTCTGACGGTGTCATCGCTGCCGGATACGAGCCCGAGGCCCTCGAGATCCTGTCCAAGAAGAAGGGCGGCAAGTACCTTGTTCTGCAGATGAATGAGGACTACACCCCTGCTCCTGAGGAGACCCGTACTCTGTACGGTGTGCAACTCACTCAGCACCGCAACGATGTTGTCATCTCCCCCAGCAAGACCTTCGGCAACATCATCACCCCCAAGGGCTCCGCTGCTCTTCCCGAGGCTGCTCTCCGTGACTTGACCGTCGCCACCATCGCCCTGAAGTACACTCAGTCCAACTCGGTCTGCTACGCCCTGAACGGCCAAATCGTCGGTCTGGGTGCTGGTCAGCAAAGCCGTATCCACTGCACCCGTCTGGCCGGTGACAAGGCCGACAACTGGTGGATGCGCTTCCACGACCGCGTCATCAACATCAAGTGGAAGCAGGGTACCAAGCGTGCCGACAAGAGCAACGCTATCGACCTGCTCTGCTCTGGCCAGACCCCCCCGCACCGACGCCGAGACCGTCGAGTACGAGCGTGTCTTTGAGGAGGTCCCCGCTCCCTTCACCCAGGAGGAGCGCGAGGCCTGGCTCCAGAAGCTTAGCGAGGTTGCTGTTTCATCTGATGCCTTCGTAAGTTCTCCGATCGTCGTTCAGGCTTTCATATTCTTTTTATGCAGTGCTAACCGTGATATTTGCAGTTCCCCTTCATCGACAACGTCTTCCGCGCTGCCCGCTCTGGTGTTAAGTACATTGCTGCCCCTACTGGTAGCCAGAATGATACCCCTGTCTTCGAGACTGCCGAGAAGCTTGGCATCACTTTTGTGGAACAGGGTATCCGCCTTTTCCACCACTAAATGTTCATTGCGGATTTGGACAATTCTTCGAACACATTTCGGTTCAAAAAAAGACACTTAGTTTATGATGATGATAGCTTTCTTGTTTAGTAAATAGAAATTAACATATGTTCTGGATAATTTCTGACCAATCTTATTTATCCTCTCCTTTTTCCAATCGCCACCCCTGGTCTCTGAATCTCAGGTCATCCGCCTTTGTTCCAAGGTTTGACTGTCGGAAATAACGTTGTAATGCCTTTTCAAAGTTAATATAACGAGATCTATCACAAGCCTCCTAATCTAACACGAATCGGACCCAAATTTTGTTATCATGAGGATGATTAAGGTTTTTAGGTCTCAACTGCCCCTTGTTGCACAAGATACTCACTCGCACACAGTCTTGAGCTTCGGGTCAACATCCCCTGTGGTACAGAGAATGGAAAGCGATAGTGAGTGAAAACCGAGTAGGGTGGTATTTAGGGCCAAGCATCCACCAAAATCCAGAAGAGTAGATCCCTTGCCTCTCATGATACGGAATGAAGGGAGTGTAAACAAATTATACCTTATGAAATTGCGATACAAATGCCAAAGTGGATTTTAATTTAACGGAGATTCCTAGTCCCCAAATCAACATGATGCTTCTCGTCTGTTAATCTGTGTCTGGATGGATTCTTACACGTAAATAGGTCTAACTCTATTGGCTCGGCGCAAATGAAGCCCATTCTTTGTACTTGTCAACTTTAATGTTTAGGCCAATCACAACAGCAGTCTCCACACCTATAGCCCTGAATAAAGCCAAATTATATGCCTAAGACTCACGCTAGCGGCACAAATACTAGCCGATATCTACATTCCTAGGAGTCCAGGTAATACACAAGTGGTTTAGTAACCCCAGAAGCCTTACACATGGGAAGAAGAAAACCACAACAGATTCCAATGGTGGGAGGGAACCAAAGGCCACGGGGCTCATTTAATTATGAGTGACCACGGCACTCTTAAATGGGTTGAAAGTAAAAGTCTATCCATCTATTCGAGACAGGAGGCATATCATGATGAAGCCATTCTCATTACTCTTGATACTTGGAGCTGGCTTCTTCATCGATGTACTAGCAGCCCCAAGTCCCTGCCCTCTAGTTGGGCCCGCCTTTCCATGGCCTACACCGAGCTTAGAAAACAAATGTCTTGATACGGCACGAAGAAATCTTTCTGCTCTTCTTTTTAAAGCAGCGAATGGATCTACGAACTCCATCGCTGTTCAGGCATTCGATACATCCAACACCAGTCCGCTGTTTCAATGGACATATACGGCCGACAATCTCGATACTAAGTTGGGTGTTAGTCATGTTGATCAAGATTCGGTGTTTCGCGTGGGCAGCGTCTCTAAGCTATGGGCGATGACTCTATTCCTTGCAGAGGCGGGCATTGATACCTTTTCGGATCCAGTTGCAAAATACATCCCTGAGATTCAATCGGCCGTCTCGGGTGATGCAATTGATTCCGTGCAATGGGCTAACGTGACAATTGGAGATTTGGCGAGCCATTTAGCCGGCGTTGGGCGAGATTGTATGTCCGCCTTTCCTCTTCCAAGACGAGAAATTCTGCGAAAGATTCTACTGCTAACCATCCTTCTCTTCAGATGGCATCCTTGATCTTGCAGCAAACCCGTCAATGACCCAAATGGGGTTCCCTGTGCTACAACCGAATGAGATACCACCTTGCGGAAATCCCGTACCTTGTAATAGGACACGTATGCCATCGATGTTCTAGACTGCTTCACTTGATCCCTGCTAACAATCTTTCATCATAGAGTTCTTTAGCGGACTTCTACAACGGCATCCTACATTCCCCGTATCTGCGACCCCTGTATATTCGAATGCCGCGTTCCAGATTCTCGGGTATGTCTTAGAAGCGATCAAGAATGATACTTTTGAGAACCTCTTTCAAAGTCAGATCGTGAGGCCTCTAAACCTTAGTCACACTTTCTATACCGCACCAAGTCCATCCCTTGGGGTTATTCCCCAAGGCCAGGGTGCCAATTTCTGGAATATGGATTTGGGTGATGAGAATCCGTAAGTGAGCTTCGATCGATAACCATCTAGAAATATCTTCATATCTAATACATTCTAGGGCTGGTGGCATTTACTCCTCTGCCAATGACATGGCAGCTCTTGGCCGTGCAATTCTAAACAGTACCCTTATAGATCCACTCACAACGAGGCGATGGATGAAACCCCATTCTCACACATCCTCGCTTGCCTACGCAGTCGGGGCCCCGTGGGAAATTACATCTTTCTCTCTGCCGCGCTTAATTGACCTCTACACGAAATCCGGGGATATCGGGAGCTATTCATCAGTCCTTGCACTATCTCCAGACCATGGTGTTGGTTTCACAATTCTTGTCGCAGGTACCGGCGGCCACGTTGTCGCTGCAATGGTTGCCGACCTCGTGGCACAAACCATGCTTCCCGCACTCGAGTACATCGCGAAGGATCAAGCGCGAGTCCGATTCGCGGGAACTTACTCGGCTCCTAGTCGGGTGGTGAATTCTTCCATTTCGATTATCACGGACGACGGGCCCGGCCTGAGAGTCACCAATTGGACCAGTAACTCGACGGATATGTTCCAATCACTTGCGACCTTACGCGGCGCTAATGATACTTCTCAAATTACTATCCGATTATACCCTACGGGCCTCGAGACTCCTGGCAAAATTTCGTTCCGGGCCTTGATTCCGCCGGATCTGGGCTTGGCTCCTATTGGTCCTTTTACTGGTTCCTGCATTACCTGGGTGACCGTTGACTCGTATATCTATGGGAGTGTTGGTTTGGATGAATTTGTCTTTACGTTGGATGACCATTTAAGGGCTACTAGTGTCTCACCTCGGGTGCTACGTATCGACTTGCAGAGACAAAATAGTAGCAGTGGATGAGTTGTCGAAATTCAAAGCGAAGCAGAATTCCCTTATATTGGCTCGATCAAGAGAAATCCGACGAGATAGGTCAATTTGGCAGAGGCAGAGGCACGGAGAGGTGGAGGGAGAGATTGTATGTCAGTCTTTAATTAACTATCAAAAATCAGTGCATCCTCGATCTTCTAGGTCTAATTTGACGGTGAATGAATGAAAATGAAAATGAAAATCGCGATATTTTTGTCCTCCTACTTACTCTATGAGAGAAGACAAATTGAGCCGAGATTTTAATAGTAATTCCACTTTTGATAGATACAATCTGACTCGTTTGATAGAAAGCAAGGGAGCTTCGGTGGCTACCCCTCATTTTGGCTCCATTTGACAGGTTCACATACTTTCTTCTGATCGTTCTATCTAAGGTGGGTGCTCGTGCAAGCCGACGTATTAAGAGCAACTACTCAGCGACTGCCTCAAAACGTAAGTGGGAATTTTAGTGTACGAACTATCTCAACTATTTATCCTCTAGTACCGATCGTAGAGTCCGTGCTTGAATAAAAGCCCCCATTGTCTGACAAACCCATCCGGAACCTCACATCCCAGAAAGGATTAGCTCTTTGCAATAAAGCCGTTACTGGGGCCACCCATAGCAATCAGATAGGACCCTCACCGTAAATTTCCGGGCGTCGGTCGGGGTAAGCCGGGATGCAGTGAGCCAGTCTGATCACAAAGGCGTGTACGGAGTGTCCGGTATCTATTCGGATACGGACGGGGAAGACAGGGCGCAACACTAAGCTTTTCAGGGCATCAGCTGACGACATTCGGAAGGAGCTGAGATCTTGCAGGATGTCCATCTGGAAGCGCATGACCTTCCATTCGGCACCGCGGATGCTAGGTGTGGTACCCCATCCCCATACAGGTACACAGGTACAAGCACAAGCAGAAGCACGGACAGATACACAAACACAAGCACAGTGCACGGTGAATAAACAATTGGTCACCGAGCTCCAGTCAGGTGGACCAGTGGCTTCCGGTGCTGGTGGTACATCACTCTAGCCGTATTTGGAGATGATGTTTGTATACGGAGTAGTCGGCGTCTAGTATGTATTGTTCCTATCACCAGGGCGTGCGCCGCGATCGACGTGGATCGATGATCACCCGAGAGCGGACATAAAGTTGTGCATGGGCATTGACATTGTAGGCATGGGCGGGTACTCCACGCGGATCCACGCAAGTCCGTGTCGGCATCGGAGCTATCGGCGGCCGACCGTGAGCAAAAAATGAAATCGCGAAAATGCCGAACTTCCGGGCGTGAGTCAGACTTGTGGTCTGTACATTTGATCTCTCCAATCTGGCGGGGTCGGAGATTTGTCAAACTGTGCTGGGTACGGAGCACAGTTTTCAAATGATGAGCTCAGATAGATAGGGTTGGCTTGGCAGATGTTAGAAAGTTCCGTTAACCGGAATGCTGTACTGGTCTCCCCAGATATTGTCACGTGGATGGGTACGCAATGATTGCACTCTATGGCATGTATTAACTTGTTAGGATGGATCATAGTAGAGTAGTTGATTTGCGTATCAAATTCATTGTGTATAAGATATTGTGCTTGTCTTCAGGGCTACCTTCCGAAATTTACAATAAATTCATGAAGCCCTCAGGCTGGGGTCGTGTTAGTAGCATCATGATACTATATTTTCGGTCATACCTAGGTAATATGTATATAGAAGAACATTGGTTGGCACTTTATCCCAGAAACTTGAGACCTTGAACTTGAACTCAGGCTTGAAATTCAAATCGATAGCTCCCCAATCGGCCATTCTAGAGTCATTCCATGCAGTCATCATTATATCCAGTACCTAGGTAGGTATTCCAACCATAAACACCGGGACAACAGAGGCATGGTCTGTGGTCTTGGCGAATAACACCATGGTGTTGACATCATCGAGCTGTCAGAGTGGATCGGCTCGGGGTTGGTACACCCACGCCGAGCGAGGATACCCGGATCGCACTCTCCAACGTTCTTCAAAGTCGCTAGTCATCGATCCTCACTGGTCAAACCTTACAGCTACCCTATCCTCGGCGCATGGCTCCGACCGAGGCTCGATTGTTGATTCATAATCTCTTTGGCCCCAGACCGCACGATTCCCAGGGATTTCTCTGCAAGGGTTCTTCTGCGGTCGCGATTGCGAACCATAACTCGCCTTGCTCTTAATCCCGGATCATTGAGTGATGTCGTTTATTTTATCTATAGTTTAAAGGTCCACTGTTTCATGTTCGCGAAAAATGAGACGAGTGGGACGGCATTCGGTGTCTCCGGAGACCCTGGCCCACTTCTTTACGAGATTTTCGCCGGAAGGGGAGATTCGTATTCTTTCCTCGCTCTTCCTTTTTAGTTTACCTTCGTAGGGCTGGTGCAAATTTGGGTCAGGTGGGGAAGCTACTGTAAGAGGGAAGAAAAATGATAAGTTTAGCAGCGTCAGGCTGAAATGGGGGTTCTGTGCGAGACATATCCACATCGAACCGTCTTTTGCGATGCTTACAATGGAGTGCGACCAGGGAGTGCCAATGCCTAGTCGTAGCCAGGGAGACAACACTGATGAAGAGGGCGCAGCAGGGATGCTAATGAATGGGATTGGCTTGGCGCCATGGCGATAGTGTGCCTCATGGACTCATGGTATCAAGGCTGAAGGCTGATGGATTACACCGCTGGTAAGACTGCCCCCATCTGCGAATGGGAGAGGCTGATCTCAGCTCAGCTGCGCCTACCCAGGGTTGTCCCTGCAAGGATGAGGTGGAAGCGGGCTTATCGCGAAGCCTAGCGATCCGAGCCAGGCAGAGATGGGGGATGAAGGAGGAAATTGGAATTGGGTTGCCTCCGCATTCGGATTCGCATTGGCATTGGCATTTCCACGCGTTGAAGGGTGGGCCGTCTCAGGTATGTCGCAGCCTGAATGAATCCGGGGGAATGCAGCGACTTGCCAAGCTGTCCAATCTTTACAGCCGCACTCTGACTAAAACCCGAATGTCCGGAGAGTGGCTGTGGTTCTATGTAGGGCCATACAGTGATGTTCACAGTATGTACGGAGTAGATAAACGGAGTTAGTCGATCACGACAGGATTGGAAATCAGCGGCTGACTGAGAGGAATTGGAAATCACTGTATCCGTAAAGCCTAAAACCATAAATGCATACTCTGTACACGGTAAAGCATAAAGAAGGACCAGAGAGACAAGTTGAATAATCGGAGAAAGGAGCAAAAGAGCGGCCGCTCGGTCGTAAAATTTCTTTGCTCCGCGGAGGCAGCATTGGTCATCCGTGAAGAAGTGGGGCATCCAATGAAGGGTGACTCATGACAATCGATTACTCAGAATTATCTAGAATCTTTCATGAGAGGGTCTTCTGGACTTTCACAATTAAGGACAATTATTGTGATGAGTGTGAAAGTATTTTACACTATGTCTCAACTAATTAACGAAATTGAAGCGGTGTACACGCATATCCCTGGGGTAGATCTTGGCAACATAATTGGCCGAAAAGGGAAAGAGAAGAGATGGAAGGAAAATAAAAATTTCCCCCAAAAATAATTCAAAAAATTCCGAAAAAAAAAATAATAATCCAATATTATTCAGCGGGCTCGGGCTCGGATCCACGCATAAATCGGTGGGGATCTTCGTCCGATCGGGTCCCGGACTTAGCACGGCTACGCGGGCGAAAATTATTATCTGCGTTTTATTTCCCTGCTTATAACCATCCTGTCCCTCCGTTGGTTTCTTGGATCTTACTACATACACATACTCAACTGCTTGATCTCAAAACTTCCAATATTTGAAGCTTGAACATCCCTAACAGATCCTACACTGGTATCACATCAATCTACTGCACAACGAGTACCTCGCTACCCAGCCAACCTGCATTATCCACACCGCCTCATCCCAACCGCGTCGTGACTGGATGATCGCAGTATTGAGTCACCACCTTGGCAGAACGAGTCATTTCCATCTGAGCTCATAAGCACCTCAACTGCCGCAATGGACCACTCTTCCGTGTCCCCTACTACTCTCCCCAAGGATTCTTCCTTCTCCTCCGCCGCCTCCCCATACTTCGCCTCCCTCCAACGGAAGCGTCAACAGAAGAAGATGAGCATCACACAAACATACTACCTCGCTCATACCGCCCGCAAGAAGCTCACTCGTGAGGCTTCGCGGGCTGATCACGATCTCCGCCTACTGGTTGGCCATGCCAACCTCCTCGACAGCTTGATGCTCGATCTCGCCGATGCCGAGCGTGATCAAGAACGCTGGTTTAACCAGACCGTCCGCGGCGCCACCAAGGAGGAACCACGACACATCCAATGGGCCTCGACCGTTGTCGAAGAGCCCGAGGAGGACTGGGATCCGGAGGATGCCTCCGACCTGGACTCGGAAGCTAGTGACAGCGACAGCGAGGACGATTCCGACTTTGATGAGAACGACTTCATCATCAATACCCCCATTCGCCGCCGGGCTCCTTCGCCCCCGGCTCCTCTCTCCATCCCCGAGCTGGAAGAGGAGGACGACGAGACCGATTCCGACTTTGAATATGATGATGAGGAGGACCTGGATGATCTCAGCCTAACCCGATCTCCCTCGCGCCAGTCGCCGCCTGAGCTGCTGGCCGACGTGGACGACTCGTCTGAGGACGAGGCCACCCCTCCATCCCCACCACAACCCACTCTCGAAGTCTTTGACGAGAAGGAGCCCACTACCATGGCCATTCCTCTCGCCCCCGCCGACCAGGATTCACCCCATCTGTTTGAGCCAGGGTACTACGTTTCACAAGAACAGAGCACCATCATCGAGGCGTACTGATCTCGCCCGACTATGACGCGTCTTGTTTCTGCTCTTGTATACCACGACTCTTACTTTTTTGAAACCATTTATGATACCCTGATGGCCTGAACGACGAAGCGAATCCTTTTCAGCAACACTTTACTTTTTTTATTATTACTTATTCCACCATCTCCTCTTTCTTCTACCATGGCGTTTTGGAATGGCCGCATTTATGGACCATGATACATACATTCGACTCCTGTGGAGTCAGCATCTCATCTCACGACTACTCCGATAGTCCCATTTGCTGTTCTCTTTTCTTTATTTCATTTTCTTTATTTGACTACTCCCTGGAAAACGGGTACCAGTTCTCCCTCCCCCCTCCCAAGTGCAGCGCACGACACGGAGGAGGGGTATGGTTTGAGACGGTCTATAGGGACGAGGAATTTGAATCCCGACCGGGCACATCTGATCTGTGCGAAGTACAGTACATAGAAAACAAAATACAAAGATTAAACTACAGAACACATACTCCAATACCTAGTAAAACAAACACCAGTTTTAAATCGGGGCCTGTCTTGCATTCCAGCGATGTCCGTAGTTCATTCAAGTGTCTCTCCTTTTCCTACTCATTGGCCCTAATGGCCTAACTGCCAACTACACCGGTTCAACGGTGCATGTGACCCATCGCCGTCGATCGGACTGCATTGCCCTAGTGGATCTAGTATAGGTTGCTGGCTTTCGGCTCCTGCTAGTCTGCCCAACCAAATAAGGCGGTGCTGGCGCATTCCTCACCGCTGATGGATAGATCCACATCAAGGGGGGGTCAATAGTCTCCGATCTTCGCGGCTAAGACGGCATAGTCGGTCCGCTACGGATGCTAGTGTCGTGAAGGGTTTGTTAGGGGAGGGAAAATTAATAAATTAGTGGGGCTGTTCAGGGTCAGGGTCAAGGTCAAGGTCAGCTGGGTGCGGACATGATGTGAGGAGGAATGCGGAGGACAGGAGAGACAGGACACAAAGAGGCTGGGAATTGTTTACGGAGAATAGTTATGTGTAGCGACTTGCGAAGTACGGAGTACCGATGTATGCAGACTATGTTGGGATGAGCGCATGTCGGCACTCAATTATTGTCAATGCCAAGGTGATTGACGAAAGACGGGGTCCTAGCCATATCCATAGTCATAGTCGTAGTTTTCTAGTACTCCATACGGAGTACGGAGTACTACGAGTAGTATCACGTCTACTCTGTACAGATGGTTCTCCGCTGGGGGCGCCGTTAGGCTGACATATCCTCACTGCCACAAGGTGCACGGAGGCTAGTTATTGGATAAGGTAGATACGAGTAGATCCGATGTCCACTGGTAAGGCGTTTACCATATGCGCTCTGTAAGAGAAGGTCCGTGTTTCTGCGATAGGGGCAATTAGGAAATTACGATTGCTCCCCGAAAGAAGACAACCTTGGGAAGACACAAAGAATACTAGAGGATAAGGGAAGGTCGGGGGTTGTGATCAGCGATCTGCAAACCCTTTCTCCCTTTGACTCGGACGTTATGGCGTGCTACCATGGTACTCACTGCTTTGGCATACATACTAGGTACATATGTACATATGTGCAGAGCGCAGACATCGGTACACCTGCAGCTTGGAAGGCCTGCTTTTTGAGTCGTCCTACTGGATTTAATTTCCATATCTGGTTTGAGGGAGGAGGCCTATGCTCATTGGCGAGTGTGAGAACTTCAGGTTGAAACTGAACTTTAATTGCGCCTTTGTACTCCGTACCGAGTACTTGGAAGTTGATCTCACACGTCAAACACTCACGGAAGATTAACCAAACACCGTCCAGATATCATTCAAGAACTAGAGAGCTTAACCCCTTTCGAGATTTGCCAACCTCTGATCTAGCCACAGGGAGCGAGGGGATTGAGGCTCTACAGGGAAATGTGGAACTACCGGAGAACATGGGTGCACCGACTGTTCTCGATGAAGTGGAGAAGTAGAACGCTGGCAAGTCCTAGAGCCTTATGCTGATGCCCTTCCACCTGTCATCTCTGACTGCGTTGTGGCCAGCCAGGAATATCAGCCCACTGAAGATAGTCGCCCGCCCCAACAATGTCGTAGAACTATTGGCCGAATTTCACGCTCAGGCATTTGCCGAAGATTGGTGCTAGATAAGGAGTAGTAGAGTATTTCATGAAGGGAATATGATGATGATATGTGCTGTTCTCGACTCCCTAATATACACAAGACGTCTAGCGTAGGCTTGGTTAAAAAGGCGTACTATTTGGGGTGTATGTTGTTTATATTCAGAGCTATGGAAAGGAGAGGATAGGATTGAGGGAGGAAGCTATGGATATGGCTGGCCTAACATGTACGTCAACTGACCTGAAGTACCGATGGAAGTGTGCAGTAATAAAAGGTCTGTGATGTCCTGAGATGTTCTGGGCAGCACATACGCTACACTGACAGGGCCAGCGAGTACATTACATTGTCCGAGAAGTCTGGGTAATATCATCAAACGCTGTCGTGCGAAGGGTAGAGCATTATGCGTACAACTACGGCCTTGGCCAGATGCATGATTGAGAGAGCACTCATCCAAAGAGGGCTTGAAGTTGAGCTTGTGCCATTCGCAGTGTTGAAATTCGATGGCAGCAGTGACAGAGGCTTTGTCAGTAGAAGTATAATAGTTGATATATGGGCAGATTGATATTGCCAAGAGAAGCGTCGGCGGCGCTCGGCAGCGTAGGTCTGCTCCAGAATTGACTTGGAAGTAGGCAAAGGTTCTGGCTTGAGTGAGTCCAGCCATGAGCGAGTCTCTTTGATGTATTCCGATTGCGATTAGGAGTTGGTAATAGATGTGGTGGCTAGGGAAATGGCGATGGGATTAGGAGGCTTCCTCCAGGGCAGCCCGCCAGCACGCCAGCGACTGAAAAAGTCCTGGGGATCATCCTTGTCCCCGTTGTAGACAAGACCAGTGATTAGCGAAGAAACCTGGTTGCAAGAAAGGAAGAAGCAAGAGCGTAACGAATATTGTTATAAGCGACACAGGCGTTTCCGGCAGTGTTGATGTAATACTTGAGGTTTTCCTTGATAGTTGTGTTGATCCAGGGCACGTGCCCTCCCATTTGTTGAGTTTGACTGGATCGGGTCCAGAGGTGACAGCAGGAGATGTGTCAGCTGATAACACAGTAGTATTTGTGGAGGAAGCAAATTGCAACTTGAATGTGTGATATGTGCTATGGATTCGAGGTGTGGAAGAAGGTGAGGGTTGTAAATCGTAGAGTCCTAGGGTTAGTATATCGACTGTACAATGGAATACTACGATTTGATTGGTCAATCCCCTCAGCTGTGCCCCGAATGAGTCAGTATGCTATCGATAACCCCTCACCGCCTGCTGTAATTGGGCGACCCCTCGCTGCAAGCGTCACCATCTCTAGTTCTCCGTCCCTTCCATCCCTAGCAAAACCTTGGAATCTACGGTGAAATATGGAGTCACGCGCTTGCAACTGTGGAATCGACAGCAAAATTCTCTTGGCCGAGGTGCATGACTGAACGTATCACTTAAGCCTGCCTTCCAGTGTTGACATTCGCATCGTGTGGGACCATCTCCATCCTATCCCCACAAACCACAGAGCACAGACAAAGCACAGCTCCGAGCAGTCTCCTGATCAACATCTACTGGTCACCGGTCAATCAACTCCCACCCGAACGGCGCAGCAGTCCAGGTTTTAGCAAGAGAGTTGCGTAGAGCGCTCTTCTCGAAGGACAACAGACACCCGGACCACATCTCGCAGGCGGCCGGATCTCATCTACCCCTCGCTGCATGATGTCAGCTCCGCCTTCTCCTAAACCTTCCGTCGAGTCCGACGACCGTCCCAGCACAAGCGAAAGCGCACTGCAGTCGAAGAAATCCGGCCACTCACGCAGCATTTCATTTGAAGATACAAAGGCACGCGATCACAGCCCACGTCGGCGCTCGATTCAGTTCAATGTCGGCGCCGCGGAAGCCCAACTCCCTACCCGCTCGCTGAGCTTCAAGGAAAAACGGCTATCTTTCGGAGGGGAGCACCTGATTAAAGAGGAAGAAGACGAGCCAGATAGGGAACATCGACACCAATCTATTCCTCGCGGGTCATCACCCCCACCGCCAAAGTACGTTCTGCCTTGATGATGGAGGTCCCCTTGCCAGCCCCGCCCCCCCTTGTCAATACTGACTCATACTATAGGACCTACGAGCGAGGCGTTTCATTCGACACATTCGACAATCGCGATGCCCCCAACTTTTCCCTGACTCTAAACTACAAGCATAAGGGATATCAAAGTACCCGCCGAAGCCGGACCTTTTTGTGTGGCACAGACCAGAATGACTACTCTGAGTTTGCCCTAGAATGGCTGATTGACGAGCTGGTCGATGATGGTGACGAGATTGTCTGCCTACGAGCAGTAGAGAAAGACTCGCGCATGGCGAGCGAAGCGGCGATTGAAGAAGGCAAATACCGCGAGGAGGCTAAGAAGCTATTTGAGCAGGTCATGCAGAAGAATAGCCAAAACGAAAAGGCAATCAGCCTCGTTTTGGAACTAGCCGTCGGCAAAGTAGAAGAAATCATACAGCGCATGGTATGTCTGTTCAATACGTCTATCATTTGTCCACGATGTCTAACCCAATGCAGATTCGTATATATGAGCCTGCTATGCTGGTTGTCGGAACACGAGGTCGCAATCTGAAAGGCGTGCAAAGTCTCCTGCCAGGATCCGTCTCCAAATACTGTCTGCAACAATCACCGATTCCCGTGATCGTCGTCCGTCCATCACCCAAACGGGAGAAGAAGAAAAAGAAGCGACGCGCAGATCCGACCCGACGGAGCTACAACCATATCCTCGAGCTGAGCGAAAAGCGTGGTAGTGGACTTTTCAACCCCAATGCCAGTATAGAAAGCGAGATATCCAAGCTGCCCGATGAAGAAGCTGCCGTCGCCAAAGCTCTGGGTCTCCCTGCTTCCTACTCCCACGCGAATTCACGCAGCTCTCTCTCTGTATCAGACCGCAGCAGTATCAGTCAAGACGAGTCTGATTCACCGTCTCCCGTTCCATACTCGCTTGACTCAGTGGTTATGAAAAGCCCGTTGAATGGCAGTCCTGCTAGCTCGGAAGAAAGCGTGGTTGTCAGCGAAGACACGCAAAGGGGAATGTCGCCAGGGCCATCGGCTCGATCGCGCTCACCACCACCTGATTATGATTCGGCAGATGACACATCTTCGATAACAAGGACTTCCACTGCAGAGAAGACCGATGGAGAAGACTCAGACGCCGAGACATCCGTGCATCAGATTCGTGTTTCCATCCCTGTGATCGAGGTTTCCAACGACCAGGAGAAAGCAGAATCGCAGAAACAATAATGTGGCCCTATTCATCTATCACCTTTGGCCCACGCCTGATGAATTCCCCCGCCACACACTCCACTCAACTAACAGTTATGCCTTATGCATTCTTCGTACACATCCAGATTCACCTTGCATGGCCTGGCCCATATACCCTCATGAGCGCACACAATACCCCGCCAAGCCAATGACCCCTATTCTATCATTCTATTTTCAACCCAATTCCTCTCTGCTCTGCCTCTAGACAATCAATAGAGACTTTTCCACCGGGAGCTCTGAAGTAAAGATACGACATGATCTCCACAAGCGCAGAGGCCCCCGTCCTACTAGTAGGTAGTAACTACAGTATTTCCGGAAATCGGTGTCACCCCCGGCACAGCCGTGACGATCCACTAGGACTTTACGAAATATTCAGGGATTTAAGACTCTGCATAATCTACCACTCGTGGAGGGCCTCAGAGTCGCTGTGGAATTTGAATCTGTTTCTTGCTCGTTTTCGTCATGTATCCCGGATCTTCATGACGATTCAAAACTGTTATTATAGTTTTAATGAACCTCTTTCGCTACTAAGTTTCCTTTGTATCTTATCAGAATCGCCTGAACTTCCGCGCGTAGTGGAAAACAAAGCGATGAAACATGGCAAGAATACCGGGACGTCTACAACAAAAGCTGGGGCTAATCCTGACTAGCCGGGCAAATTGCTCTGATCCATCATATCCGTCATCTGCTGGTTGAATGAAAACCAGTTCCCGAGTAACTGCCGCCTGCTGCGGCCAATCCTGACCCGGGGGCTCCATGTCGAGAATAGTGAAGGATGCCACTGGATCGGTCTCTGGTGTGGCATGGCCAATGGTATATGACCCGACGTAGATCTTCCAGGTCGCCCGTCTCGATGACGTAACAAAACAGCACGATGAATGGGATGAAGGGCGTTAGAAGGATCGTCTTACAAGCACACAGTTAGGGGCTGCTGCTGATGATTGGGGGATTACGCCTTGGTACTGCGAATAAATACCAGTTGATATAGGTGGACAAAAGTGGTGAGACATTGAACCCAAAGTCCGTGCAATCCCTATTGAAGGTCGTTATAGAGTCTTGCTGCACCGGCACGACTCGATGTACGAGGGTGAGCATTGAGAGGTGAATTATTTCGTCGGACGCAAAAACGAATCGTAGCTGCTCTTTGCCGTGATCATCCGTGATGGATCGATATAAGAGTTGCTACACTGTAAAGCTGCAGGTTTGTGCGTCATCCATCCCATAAATGAGGCCATGAAAAAGGAAAGATGGGGATTACATTTGTCTCACGCATATCTAGAGCGTGTCTGTCAAACTACTCCGCCAGGACTGATGCTCGACTTGTTCGCACTTCCGCGGGAAGTTGAAGGGCATTTCCGGAGTATAGTTGCTCGTAGATCTTCCCAGATGGATTAGCAAGCTTGACCTGCTGATGAAAGTACTCGAAAGCATAGGAGCGGGATACCTGTAGCTCGCCTGGCCTTGGGGCCGTAATATCGCAATCTGGGACAGTGGTCCCGAGGTCTGAAAGGCTTCGCGGCACGATAAGATAAGAAAGGCAGAGATATTCAAAGGTGTTCTTCTCTAAAAGCAGCGGTTAGCTTATCCACATTATACTGGGATACATCGAGCTTTCGAGAGGATTGTGAAGAATGGAGACCGTTTCCCTAAAATGAATGCCCTGCATTATGATATCAATGTCAAAAGAAGTAGACAATCTCACGATGCAAAGTGATCATCCAGTTAGAGTCAGTAAACTCTCACTGACTCTATGTAGGGTGTAGAACTACCTATCAACTCCCAAGCCTAGTCTCGAAATAGTAGTGAAAGACTACGAATATAACGAATATAGAGCAAAGAAAATGCAATCTGCCTGTGGGGTTATGATTTAAACGGGAATTATCATTGCGGACTATTTTAGGCCTATCCTCTTGCCACGTACCCTAACAGCAAGAGGATTGTACTATAACTTGAACCAACCAAGCTTTCGCTCGCTCCTCCCTACCACATCCATCGATGGATCGTAGGATCAACCAACCAAGCCCATTTTCAATCTCAACCGACCAAAACTCAGCGACGTAGCCAAGAAAAGGGATTATCATGATCGTAGTAATAAAAGGCTAGAATCAGAAGAAAGAAGGAGAAATGGAAAAGGAACGAGAAGAGAAGGAAGACGAAGTAAGGTAGAAGAGAGAAAAAGATGTGAAGATTGTACACTATGAAGGTTTCGAGATGAACATTCAAGTCCTTCCGAGATCCGGTCGAATCCAGACTTCGAAAGATAGTTGATCCCTCCCCTTTCCCCTTCACTTCGCGCCCCGTTCCTACCCTCCCGTACCAGACCATAGGGAGATTGATTGGAGATGGAGAGCAAGATGGATTTGAGGGAGAAAGAGAGACCCGAATGAACCCTCCGATAAAAGATCTCGAAGAGATAAGAGAGAAAAAGAGGCGAACACGCAAAAAAAGCCATCGTCCCGGGGGAAATGACCGACCATGTCGGAAAATGCAAAGGGGGGAGAGGGAGCGCGTCGAGACTTTGTAGAGTGTGTGGTTCGATAAAGTCTCGGCACGGGTCTCAAGAGCATCGGCGCGCAGAGATGGAGCAAGGGAAATGAACATACAATGGAGAAGAAGAATTGGGAGGGAAAAGGAAAATGGAAAGGAAGAGAGGAAGAAACAGAAAAGGGAAATCTTTTGGGGAAACCGAGGAAAGAGAAAAAGAGGAAAAGCGTTGATCATTACTCCTAACGAATCTATGCTGCGTTCTCGCCGTCCTTGGACGGTGTTTTAGATGGCCGGCGCTCGGCGGTGGCGGGCTGGGTCTTGGTGAGCATGGGGGAGGTAGGGTTGGAGGGAGGTGATGTGGCCATGTTGTCCTTGTCTTCCAGGGCGGCGAGGGCACTGTGAAGGGTAAGTTAGTTTGGGAGGTTGACAAAGTGAGGTTTGATGACTGGCTGAAGATACCTGAAAGCGTTCATGGATGAAGAGGCGTCCTCCTTCTTTCCAGCTTGGCTGGCGCTGCGGCTCGAAGCAGCACTGTCATCGCTGGCGCGGACCAGGTTGCCACCAGGGCCCAGGTTCTTGCGGCCGCTGTTGCTACGGGATCCAAGTAGGCTGGAGGGACCGAAAGACATAGGCTGGTTGGGGTTGCGAGTAGCGCGCAGACGGCGAAGATCGTCACTACCGACCTTGCTGGAAGCATAGTCTGGAGGCGGGGCTTGTTGACCGTAGCGGACATCTCCACGGCCCATGGCCATCCGTCCACCACCACCACCGCCGCGGTTAGACTGCTGGCGCTGACGCTCCATCTCCTGCTCTTGTGCAGCACGGGCAGCCTATCAAAAGGGTCAGAATTGAAATGTTCAATAGCAATAGTAGGGGTTTTTTTAGTAGAACATACCTCCTCGCGAATCTGTTGGATAGTCTTAGGACCCTTGTCGGAGTCCTTGGACTGCCAACGCTTGGAACGCAGATCAATGATATCCTGGGAAACAGTAAGTTAATACATCATCATCGGTTAGAAAAGTGAGGGAAGAAACATACCAAAAGCATGAACCTAAGACGGCTAGGCAGACCGACAGTCTCCATCATCATAGTGATGCGAGCGAAGTAGGCATCCATCATGGCGTGACCCTTCTCAGAGGCATCCAGGCTGGAACCGATGGTGCGCAGAAGGCTGGTCAGAGACTCAACCTCGGCCTCATCGGGAATGCCATCGTAGTCAACCAGCTTCTTCACACACTCGTGCATGATACGCTCTGTCAACATACCAAGCTTGTAAAGCTCACCAATGAACTTGACGAGACCAAGACCACGACGCTTGGCGGCAGCAGCAATATAGTACTCATCGGACAGCATTGCAACCTCCTCGCTGGTACCCTTGGGCTTCTCGGGCAGGTTGACCTTCCAGCCACGCTCGAACTCCTCTTGACAACGGTTGAGCAAGTACTTGCGGAACAAGTTACCACCAGCAACAACGTTGCCGTTCTTGTCACGGATGTTCTCATCCTTGATTTCCAGACTCATGCTCTCGAGCATAGCCTTGCAGAACTTAGCATACATGGGAGCCCAGTGAGCCTCGTCAGTAGCCTTCTCGAAGGTGAGTTGGATGACTTGGCGGAGAGTGCGGCCGTCGGACTCATCCTTGGACTGAGAGACAATGACCAAAATTTGTTCAGCGATACGGTCAAACTTCTCGGGAGTCATCTTGTTGAGAGCAGCCTTAACCTTACGCTGCACAACATCGGGAGCCATGTGGCCCTCGCTGCCAGCAGGAGTAGGGGCCGGAAGGAGCCTGACCGACGCTACGAGGCTTCCAACCAGTGGCAGTAGTCTGGATAGCCTTGAGATCCATACCGGCAGTCAAAGGCATAGATTTGTTCTGCTCCTCCTCCTTCTTTCCGGGGTGCTTCTTGCTGGCATTGCGACCACCCTTGCTGGAAGCGACACGGGGAGAAGGCATGCCAGAAGAGTTGTTGCGGCTCATGCCAGGAGCGCCGATACCTCCGGTACGGGGGAAAGCGAAGGGGCCGTTGCGGCCGCCCATAGGGGTGTTGACGGGGGGCATGCTGTTACGGCTACCGGGGGCATTGAACTGGCCCATGCCAGGATTTGTGAATACACCCATTGCACCGCCACGCGAGCTACCACGTGGACCCAGGCCGCCAGGACCAGGGCGGGCAGACTGAGGACGAGAGGAGTCGGAGGGGTCTCCAAGAGTTTCCCGAACAGTGTTATCCCAGTCAATGGACGGCTTGTCCTTGTATGCGGCCTGGAATTGCAGCAGGAAGTCACGGTCATAGTGGAACTGGCGACCAACTGGGGAGTTGGCGTTCAGGGCGAGGTTAGGCGCAGTGACGGACTCGGGATAGGTGATCTTGCTGAGGTCCTTCAAGAACTGGGCGTTCTGTAGGGACTTCATAGCAGCGCTTGGTTGAGCAGGCTCGGTGGCCTTGGGAGTATCGAGCTTCAGCGCAGCGGGCTTCTTAGCGGTAGCGCTGGCAGGCTTTCCGGGGGGGTCCCATGGACATATCCGACGAAACAGGTGTGGCGGCGCCGCTGTCGCCGGGGGTTGATGCCTCAGTGGCAGCGAAGCCACCCTTCTTGAGAGACGCGAAAAGGTCCTCGCGCTCCTTGCGGCTGGAATCATCGTCAGTGGTGACAGTTTCGCCCTTGGCACGAGCGGCTTCCTTAGCGAGCTCGCGCTCCTCAGCCTCGCGCTCAGCCTGCTTCATATTCTTCTCGTAGTTTTCCAGGTCCTCGCGCTCCTTGCGCTCGGCAGCCTCCTTCTTCTCCTGCTTTTTGCGGTTGTAGTCCTCCTCAGCAGCACGTTCCTTGGCCTCAATCTCGGCCATCTCACGCTCGATGGCATCGAAATCGATCTCATCGTCATCGGCAGGGGCGGCAGGGGCGGCAGGGGCAGCGGGAGCGGGAGCGGGAGCAGGGGCGTCAGCCTTCTTGGGCTCTTCGGCCGGGGCAGACTTGTCGTTCAAAGTCAGCTTCTCCAGAGCAGCGGAGGGATCAGCGCTCTCCTCCTTGGGCTTCGCGGGCTCAGCCTCCTTGGTATCCTTGCGAGCGGCTTCCTCGGCCGCACGCTTCTGTGCGGCCTCATCTTCTTGAATCTTCTGACGGACAGCATCCTTCAACTCCTGCTTCTTCTCCTCATCGGTCTTGGCAGTGCTGGCCTTGCTCTCAGTTCGGCTGTGATCCGACGCGCTGGCGGTGCGTGGGGGAGGGGTCGAGGTGGGAGTGGCAATCTTCACGGGGGAAGGAGTAGCACGGGCAGGGGAAGCGGGGTTCTTGTCGAATGTCTTGACCGCACCGCTGCCAGGATCCTTGATAACAATCGCGCTCTTCTTGGAGGGAAGAACAAAGTGTGACTTCGCAGGGGCGGGGCTGTTAGAGGATCTGCTGGCAGTGTGAGCGTGACCGGGGCCAGCCTGAGCTGGCTGGCCAAGGCTCGAGCCTGGACGGTCAGTAGAGACTTGAGAAGGAGTGCGGGAAAAGAGAGCAGCCTGCGGCGGCTGAACGGGATATTGGCCTGGCATGAAACCAGCCTGGGGGTTGAAGGGCATGCCGGGACGGGGTTGGGGCGAGGGAGGCATGTATTGCTGTTGCATGCCATATCCGGGGTTGTAGTAGCCGTAGTTGGGATCGTAGGGAGGGTAGGGAGCCTGATGTGATTTGACCAATGTTAGAATATGTTCCCAATTGCCGGCTTCAGGCCGGAGATCTGGAGGAGTAAAATTGGCCGAGAAGACACGGGGATGTCCTCGTTTTTGGTTACTGCCACGCCGGGCGGGTTTATGGGTGTTGGAACGAGAGGAATTGTGGGATCTCACTGTTTGGGGACCCATGTGCTGGCCATAGGCGCCATACGGCTGGGGAGGCATCTGACCGGCCATGGGCACTGGGTTCATCTGGGGAGTGGTTGGGTGCGCATTGGCGAGGGCCGGGCTGCGGTTCGCTTGGTGAGGCGAGTTCGGGAAAGGGGCCAACGGACGTGCCTGGTTAGGACCACCGTGGAACTGAGGGCCCATGTTGGGACCACCGCGAGGCTGGTTGGGAGTCTGGCGGAAGTTGGGTCCAGGAGAGTATGGCATCTGGCCTTGATAGCCTGACTGGGAGTATCCGCGACCGCGTCCACCTTGGTGAGGGTATCCACCACGTCCGGGGCCGCTGCCCATGTGGTTGCTCATATCGCTGTGGGTAGACTGGGAGGATTCGCGTCGGAGGTGCTGAGGACCCGGGCCGAGGGGTGCCTGTAAGGATGGGCGCATCTATGTGAGCAACAAGTTAAAATGTGGGGACTCGGAGAGAGTGAGAGAGTTTTTTTTTTTTTTCTTTCTCTGAGCGGTCGCGTCCCGCGTTCTCCATGCGTCATTGCGCACAGCCACATCTCAACGAACAATACGTGTAGAAAAATAATCAAAGGAACGATGTAACGTACGTTGTTATCACCAGACTCGCCGAAGCTGCCGAAGTTGGGAACGTTTCCTTGTCCCTGGTAGGTGGATGGGGGACGGCCACCACTGGAGGCGGGCTGGGGAATGGGCGAAGGAGAAGTCTGAGGCGAGGTCACACGCGGGTTTGCCGAAGGAGCACCCAGACCAGACTGCGACTGGTTGTTGGCGAGAACGGCGGGGTTTCCCATGTTAGGCGAGCTTTGAGGGTTGGCGAAGCCAAACTGAAGGCTCTGTGGGCGACTGGCCGAGCCACCGTTGGGCATATAGCCGGAAGTACCAGCGGATGTGATGGTTACGGAGGGCTTGCGAGAGTGATCACCCTGGGAAGCAGTTGTCGCAGCCGCGGGAGCAGTTGGGGCGCCATTGACAATGGTCACACCCGAGGCGGGCTGCTGGGGTTGTTGGGTTTGCATGGGGTTGCCGTTCACAGGAGATGCTGAAGTCGACTTCCCATGTTGCGCCGAGCCACCCACGGTGACGGGAGCGGCGGTAGAGTCCGTCGCGGACTTTTTCGTGGCGTTGGCGTAGGACCTGGCCGGTGCCGAAGCAGTGGCAGCCAGGGGGGGTGTTGGAAGAGGTCGGGTTAGAAGCAGAGGTAGCGGTGCTTTGTCCTTGTTGAACGCCCGACTGAGGAGGGTTCGAGGTCATTAGACAGGTGGTATCCACGTCTGATGCGTAGAGGGGGGGAGGGAGGTGGGTGAAGAAAAAGTGAAAGTGAGGTCAAGTTACGGAAGAGGCTCTCTTTCGTCAAGGCCACATCCAAACCTAAGAAATCTGCACACACAGACCGATTAGGTTAGAACACGATATGTGGAGGGGGGGGTTTCTTTTTGTTTTAGAAAAAAGATTGAACAAATCAAAATGAGAAAATAAAAAAATAAAAAAATCAGAGTGAAATGAGCCAGACAAAGAACGCAGCAAGTGACAGCGTTTAAACACCCCGTTTGGTTGAAACAAAAGTGTGTGGGTTTGGAGGGCAAAAAAATCCGGGAAAAAAAAGTTCTGGTGGGAATTTTTTGGGGGGCGCTATGTGGCAGTGGATGCAACAGCAACAACTTGAAGGTAGATAAGGAAAGGGGGAAACCCATCAACTCACTCAAATTCACTAAAGAGGGAGACAAGCTCTGAGGTCCTCGAAGGTTGAGGAAGGGAGATCCAAGGGAGGGGTGGATAGAAGTGTTATTCTTGTTAGGTTAGTGTACTGTTAGTGTTAAGTGCCATACTGCCGTACTGTATACACATAATAAGTATTGAAGTATTAAGTATTAAGTATTCAACTCACTCTAATGACGACTTGGCTGGATTAAGTCTAGTACCTCTCCCTCCGCAACTACTTACGGCAACCCTCTTTTCGAAATGTCATAGCCCTTTGACTCATCCATGACTGCTGACTCGATAGTGACTCGATTCATTTCATTCATTGATACACCCGTCACTTCATTGTTCCAAGTGGAGCCTCCCCATTTCCTCTCCCACAGCCCACACTTTGCCACAGCCCAGATCTAGCCCTTTCACACACCATGTACAGTAGGTATTCTATGCTACTACTAGTAGATTCAAGTTCCTTATAATACCTAGGTAATATATATCGGTATATTACTATATGACTATATTACTACCAAGTAAATCCATTTATCTCCTATAGCCACCATAAGTCCCCCCCCTGTGATACCGCGATCTCACAGGGATACACACATGCATTCCTAGGATCGACTGCCCGGCTTCCGCGCGCCTTACCTTGCATCGGCACCATCTTTCCATATGCACGCCTGATTCTTCCGACCGGATTGATTCGGACTGCTTCTCCACCCTCGGCTGTCACTTCTGCTCTACTCTAGTCGAATGGAGGATAAAAATCCCGCTGAGCTGATCCAAAAGCGAGCAGCCCATACTGAGGTGGAAGATGGAGACTCGACACCTGGGTGCTAGGCACTGGGCACTGGGCTCATAGTATAGCCCGTTTTATTTACGAGTAGTTTCCTGTAGTTAGTACCCAACTAGTAGGGTAGCTAGGTAAGTATTGTGGCCTCATAGATACTAATATTCTCGTTGACTGAGCAACTCGAAGCATGATGATCCAATAACCCATTTCATTCTGAACACTTAAAAAACAGACGAGCAAGGTTTCTATTTATTTTGTCTTCTGCCGAGCAATACTTTCTTGCATCCATGGGTTCTCTCAAATCCTAATACCGATCATAACCAGTGCTCCGCCCCGCGTTCGACGACCCCGAGGAATCATGGTCATTTCCAAGCCAACCGCCCCATCGTTCGCTGGTTCGTCGTGTCGCACGACTCCCCAGATCTTCGTCATCCACCACATCAAATGAGTTATCGCTGGGGTCCTTCCTTAGCGGTCCTCCGTACGCCAAATCATCCGTCTCGCGATCCCCTCGCCCCATCGTCTGCTCCTCCTGCATCAACGTCGACCGCAGATGATCCAGGACCTCGCGCTGCGCCGAAATATATTCAGCCTTTTGCGTGATAGACATACTTTGGAGTTGCCGCTGTAGAAGCGTTCCACTGGCCGATAGCTCCTCTGCTCGTGCTTCACGGGACTTGCCCGTCGAGGCAATCGAGCCCAAGGTCGAGCTGAGGACCGAATACCAATCGTTCGAGGCGGCAGGGGTGGACGCAGCGGCGGCGGCGGGGATATTGAATCGTGACAATAAGGATTGCGCATATGATGCAGGTCCCGACGGGGGTGGAGGTGGTTGACGCTGGGGAGGGAGACCCATCACTTTCTCCCGAATCAGGTCGATGGCCATGTAGAAGTATTGCAGGCCCAGTACCTTGGCGCGCTCATGGGCGTGACCGATCATGTCCTCAATTTCCCGTTCGTGATGTGTCAGGAACGGGTCCACGTAATCTTGGTAGAGGAGACGTGCACCCTGGGTTTGTGGGAGGACAAGATAGCACATGAAGAAGAGGCGGATCCAGCTATAGAAGGGGAACCTGTGTGTGTGAAGAAAGACATTTTATCAGCTTGGCGAACTCTTGGTGGAAGAATAACTTCAACTTGAACTTGAAAGACCATACCAGCCAATGATGAATACAGTCCATGATTCAGCCAGCAGAATGACAGAAAGAACCACCCAATACATCAGCCATGGTGCCAGCTGGGAGGGATCGGCAGAGCGGAGAGCCTTGTAGGATGCGAAGATAGGGAAGAGGATAGTGATGACCGAGCTGCAAGGAGGGGGGGTATTAAGTGTTAGCAGAGAAGGCACAATTTCAATATATCGAGGTGGGAATCAGGAGTAACTACTTACGACATCAAGTCCGCAATGATTCCGAACATGATGGGTATTGTGGGAGAGGTGTCTTATTTGTCAAGATTGTTCCAGAGGGGTCGGTGAAGCGGTGGAGGATCAAAAGACAAAGCTTCCCCTCCACGCCTTTTTTAAGCCGGTGGGTTGAAGGGAGCAGTTCGGATAGAAAATTTCCGAACCGATGAGGCCGAGAGAAAAGGAAAACTCTGAGCAAAAGGAAGCGGAAGGGCTAAAAAAAAGATGAAGAGAGTGGAGAGAGAAGAAGGAGCAAGGCCCACACCGCAGGCTTCCATCTCAGCTGAGCTCTCTACATTCTAGTACTAGTAGTAATACTCCCCGCACGGGATCAACGGCTCTTCTTGACGTCACGTTTGTGGGAGAACAACAATCCTTTAGTTTAGTCTAGAAACAAGGTGGGATGCTACCCTTTTTTGCCTCATGTTGATCTTGCATTATCGCGCTCGTTTTACCTCCAATCGACCTGGAGACCCAGACCTTACGATCTACCAACTGGTGGACCAGGAAGCTCCAAAATCGGCCCAATCGGCCCAATCACCCCATCCCCAAGCTTCCTTCTTGTATGACCCCCCCGGGCTCTTTCTTTCCTCCAAGTCTCCCTCCCCCTGGTCTTATTGATCTATTTTGTCTCCAATCTACAACAACCCCTAGTCCTGCGAGACTCATCTGGCGTGCTCGCAAATTGCATCCCCCCCCCCCCGCATTCCATCCTCATTTCCCCGCAGCCACGAACCTGTGGCGCCTCGGGATTGACAATGTGCATCGCCTTGGTCTCAACCCTCCACCCGGCCTATTCTCTCATCGTCATTGACAATCGAGATGTATGGCTTCTATGTTGAGTTGGAAGATCCGAACTGACCGCTAACAACATCTAGGAATTCCTCCATCGTCCGACTTCGTCTCCCGACTGGTGGCCGGAGCCATCCTCGTTCGTCCTCGGCTCACGCGACCTAGCACGGGCGACCCACGGAACTTGGATGGGGGTCACCAAGCAAGGGAAAGTAGCAGTTCTCACCAACTACCGCGAAGACACAGCGATCGAGGCGATCGGGCAATACAGTCGGGGAAGAATCGTCAACAGCTGGCTGACCAGTCCCCCCCCATGAGCATCAGACCACCCACGACTTTGTACAATCTATGGTGGCCAGCCCAGAGGCCAAAAAGGTTGGCGGGTTTAGTCTGATCTGTGGTCACATCAACGAACCTCTGGCGATTGTCTCTAACCGGTCTTCCAATATGGACCACATCACCTGGGTCGCTAGTGAGAGGAATCAAACCCGAGGTCTCAGTAATACTAGCGTGGATGACCGATCATGGCCAAAGATTATCAACGGCGAGAAACTCATGGAAGAAGCCATTGAAGGCCATGTACAGGCCGAAGAAGACGAGGAAGCCCTGTTGGAGCGCCTTCTCGCAGTCCTGAGTACCGATACATTGCCCCGGCCTGCTGGCGTGAAGGATACACTCGACGATTACGTCAATCTCCTCAGAGAGAGTATCTTCGTCCCGATACTTGGGTCTGACAAAGTCCCAGCCCAGACTGCAGAACAAGACGCTACCGCCCGCAAACTCCTTGATCAAAATTATTCTTCGGGTCCATATGGAACGCAGAAACAAACGATCCTCTTGGCGCGACCCGATGGCCGTGTGAGGTACTTTGAGCGGACTCTCTACGATGACAAGGTGAATGCCGTGCCTATCGGACAGGGCGACCGGTCCTTCGAGTTCCACGCGGAGCCATAGCAATTAGCCGGCCACGACAGTGATGTGCGTGGCTACCGTGACTCTAGACTTTGATGTGCTATGAAGTGATGAATTTGAATGAGAGAACCAACAGGTATGAAACGCGAGAAAGAGGGGATGTGGTTCGCCTATTGTATACAGGGCCGGTACTGTACTTAGTATTAATCCTACAGCCTAAATTCATTAAAGTGTATAATTGTGGCGCTTGCAACAATTTACCTATGGTTAATATTAATTTGCCATTACAATCATGCCATGGATTACTCTGAACGTGTCGGTATTGTGTCACATTACAGGCTACTAATCTAAAACTGCATATCGAATTTGCAAGTGATTTTTCTTCTAGCACCTCTAAAAACCCGAGAATGCACCAATCTCATCGGTAGTACTGATTTTATCAGTGCTTGTTGGTAAAGGAAACTCCGAAACAAGTTGGGCGACGAGTGTTAGCGGATTCGCCGGCTGTCATGCTAAGCGCTCCGCACTGTTTCATCTTAAGGATCGCTCATCTACCCGGAGCTTCAACTTTTCGGCCTCAACCCCAACAGGGAATGGCCGAGTCCACAACTCACCGGAACAATTTCCTTCAGTTATCCCACCTACAAAGTGGCTTTCTAGAATACGCTCGAAATGACCCTGAGCCCCTATGGGTCTCACTTTAAGTACCCACTTTACACCAACCTCATCACGGACCGGGTACCTTATGAGCCCTAGTCATTGAGCCAATTCCTTTGATCACAGAGATACTAATGAAACTAGATTGCGCTAGATTCGGATACTGGCTGTTCCAGACCGTTCGTGCCATAGCTAGTGGCTCCCAAGCAATTAGGCTCCCTGTTTGACCCCTGACCCTGCATCGACTATCGAACCCCATCGCACGGAGAAACTATGGCAATACCATGTTCCAGATTGGCCGTATCCACAGAAATCATTTTCACAATGACCCAGGGACATGTATAGTGGCCCTGCTTGGTGGGGTCTTGAACGGTGAACCCACTCCAAGTATCAGATGCTTGTTAAACACCGCTAAGCCAAATGGAAAACGCTGTTGGACGCCCCCTCCTAGCGAGGACAGGGTATATAAAGTCAGAGAATGGCAGCAGTTTCGATCTTTCCTTGGCAGTCGTTTTATCGCATACATTCATTCTTTTCCTTCGCTATCAAGAACTGGTTTCTTGACTTCCTTCTTTTAGATTCCATTCTTTCAATCCTTTTTCTCGACAAGTTCGACATACATTCTCTTATCTATCAACCAAGATGAAGTTCTCCAGCGTTGTTTTCGCTGCCAGTGCTGCCACCATGGCCTACGCTTACCCTAGTGGCCGTGATGTTATCCCCAACAAGCGTGATGTGTCCAAGCGCGCCAACGGCTTTACCTGTATGTTCTCTTTCAACTATGATGCCTGATATACAGATATGCTAACTCTACTCAGGGGTCGGTGTCAGCGAGTCTGGTGCTGAGTTTGGCGAAGGCAACCTTCCCGGTACCCTCGGAACCGACTACACCTGGCCTGTGACTTCCAAGATCCAGGTTCTTCGTGATGCTGGCATGAACATCTTCCGTGTTCCCTTCCTCATGGAGCGCCTGGTTCCTTCCAGCATTACCGGAAGCCTCGACGCAACCTACCTGAAGGACTTGAAGGCTGTAAGTGAATGGCTCATGGAGTGAAAGAGATTCCGATTGTGGATGCTAACACGATCTTCCTCCTAGACCGTCGAGTTCATCACCGACAGCGGTGCTTATGCCGTCCTTGACCCCCACAACTACGGAAGATAGTATGTTTCTCTCCGCCCTTCACTTGGAATAACAAAGAAGAACAGTGCTCATGATTTTCCAGCTCTGGAAGTGTCATTTCCTCCACTGCCAACTTCAAGGCCTGGTGGAAGACCGTGGCTACCGAGTTTGCCTCCAACGAGAAGGTTATCTTCGACACCAGTATGTTGAACACAATTTGAATACAGAAGCTCCATATATTGATCATGACTTTAGACAACGAGTACCACGATATGGACCAGACTCTGGTTCTCAACCTGAACCAGGCTGCCATCGACGGTATTCGTGCTGCCGGTGCCACGACCCAATACATTTTCGTTGAGGGCAATGCCTGGACCGGTGCTTGGTCCTGGACTGATAACAACGACAACATGAAGGGCTTGACTGACACTCAGGACAAGATTGTCTACGAGATGCACCAGTACCTCGACTCCGACAGCTCCGGTACCTCGGAGACCTGTGTCAGCTCTACCATTGGCAAGGAGCGCCTCACCGCGGCCACCGAGTGGCTAAAGACCAACAACAAGAAGGGTTTCATTGGCGAGTTCGCCGGTGGTGTTAACTCTGACTGTGAGACTGCCGTCAAGGGCATGCTCTCTTACATGTCTGATAACAGCGATGTCTGGATGGGCGCTGAATGGTGGTCTGCTGGCCCCTGGTGGGGTAGCTACATGTACAGCCTGGAGCCTACTTCTGGCCCTGCTTACTCGACCTACCTGCCCATCCTGAAGGAGTACTTCGTGAGTAGCTCTGGCTCCTCAGCCTCAACCTCCACCACCACTGCTGCTGCCACCACCGCCGTGGCCAGCACTAGCACAACCACTTCTTCATCCACCACCACTTCTGCCGCAGAGGCTATCAGCACCCCCAACACACAGGCCCAAGTTTCTAGCCCAGCAACTGAATCTTCCAGCTCTCTTGATAGCTCCGCTAAGTCGGATGCCACCACCGCCGCCGCAGCCCCCTCCTCGTCCTCTACCTCCGTCGCATCCACCGCCGGCCCGACTACCCTTGTCAGCGTGCCTTCCACTACCCAATCTGCTAGCACTAGCACTAAAACCGCCGCTACCGTTGGTACCGTTGCTCACTGGTACCAGTGCGGCGGAGCCAACTGGACCGGTGCTACTACTTGCGCCAGTGGCCTCACTTGTGTCAAGCAAAACGAGTACTACCACCAGTGCCTGTAGAGCATGGATTAGTATGATTCGGGATCGATTGTAGGATATAGAACAGAAGGTGGTTTCGTTGGGTCTGGTATTACTTTCTTTTCAATTCCGAGGATTATTTTGCCTCGCCTGTATATTTTTCACTTCTGCTGCTGAGAGGGTTTACTGGTATCTTCTAGTAGATTACTGCTCGGTGCGCTTCAAATCAACCATTTTGCACCCATTATTTTTGGCCCGTAACAACGCTAATACTAGTACTTCGAGATGCTCCACTCCCTTTCCGAAGATTGATTCCCATCAGTACCTATGTAGTTGTATACAAGGCCAGTTAGTTTATTTCTTATCCTACTCTGCCTCTAGACTGCAAATCAGACACTGACCAGGAGTAATGCCCCTGTCAGCCTCTATAAACACCAAGGAGATTCCCACTGACGGGCTAATCTGTTTCCGCCGGTAAGCTTCTCATCGATATCTGGGACATAGAACCCTATGTGAGAATCTACGAAATTATATCACATGTGGAGGACAATAAGATGATATTCCTCCCGATCCGTGATTAAATAATATGTAGTCGAGTCATCCGAGTCCGATGGTCGACGTCCATAACACCTGACGCCGCCATAAAAGTGGCGTCCTCGCCATGAACATGTCAGAGACAAAAAAAAAAAGAAGTCAAAAGCAAGAACAGAACCTTCTCTTGATCCTTATTCTTCCCTCGCCTCGAACTAGTTCTTCTTCATCGTCGCCAGTTTCTCTGCATTTTTCTTGTTCTCCTCAGAAATCAGGGTTTGTAAATGGCTTGTTATCTCCGCGATCCGCTCGTCGCCCAGGCTTACTATGCTGGGATCTGAGTCCGCCATATGCTTCAGCATTGCAGCTGTAGCCATGGATCTCCGGAGATAGAGTGGCCAGTGCTGTGCCTCCGGTGGCAGGTTGTCCATTGCTAGATCGTATTCGCAGATCTGATCCTGGATCCACGGTCCGTCTGCCGATTGGGGTTCATGGGTAGCCACGTATTCCCCGATAGCTGAAACCTTAAGCCGTAAGCCGTCGACTTCGCCGTCGTCGATTTGGACGGGGTCGATTTGGAGGGCGCGGCATGGGACATCGGGGCCGGGTTGGCGGTGGGCGTCGTGAGGGAGGTTGCTAGTGCCCTGTTGAGGGTTATTCCAGGGAGCATTGCCAGCAGCAGCATCCGGGGCAGCATTGTCGGCTGTGGCGGTGTTGAACGTGTTCTTGGAGCTCTGAGTCTAGTTTAGTCGCCGGGACGCCTTTTCTGGTACGTGCTAACGATTTCAAGGTCTCACCATTGGAGTTCGTTTCTCTTTCGAAGTGCGTTGCTGTTCTTGTAGAGTACGTTCAGACTCTGGGAAGACGGAAACCACACCAGTCGAGGAAGTTGATCTTCCAGGAATCGATGTTTGAATCGAAAATGAGTGGTGCTGAAAATTTCCTGGTGACTTGGTTATCACAGTTGAGGCCTCGGATCGGTTTTGAGCAAGCGTGAGGGAGCACGTAGAGGAGAGAAGGAAATCACTAGTAGGCTGGACTTATATCCTACTAGTGGAGGGCAACTGAGAGGCGACCATGAAATAGTTACGAAATTAGAATGGATGAAGGTGAATGATGGTGGTGATGAGACTGCGTAAATTCATCCAGCCTCCACTACTATACATAGGCTCCTAGTGAATATCCACTGTTGGCTGGATCTTAAGGTATGACAGCCAACCTGGCGAGATGAGTAGTCGATGAATGGCTTGGCACAGACGCCATGGGCTAGTAGACGAATACCCTTCATTGAATGAGCTGTGTGTATTTCAAGTAAGTGCTTGAGGAATCAAAGTGAATATCGATAGTAGGAGACATAAGTGTGCGAAAGCAAATTATGGAAGAGTGCACTCTCTTATCTCCACCAATACTGTCAAGAAGAGTAGAAGCTCAAGTCCATTTCCAGAAGAAAAGCGAATAAAGTACATTGATCACAGAAAGAATATCGTAAGTGTCGTTCAATGAGTGGTGTTACCTAGGGCAAAGCACCATGCAAATGCAAAACAAATTAGGCCTCCCCATCTCCCCGATGCAAAAGAAAAGACAACCAACGGTAAAGAATGGAGTCTTTAATTATAAAATTCACTTTCTCCAAGTAAGCTCTCACGCGTCAGCTGCCTCGTGCATGCGAACAGTGACCAGGTCGGCCGGAGCGGCAGTCAGAGTCATAGACCAACGGGGCTTCTGATCAGGGTTGATATCCTCAATCTGGTCAAAGCGCTGGAGTAGCCGGGCAATGACATAGCCGGCTTCGGTAAGCGCGAACTGCTGACCAATGCAGATACGAGGACCACCGTTGAAGGGGATATACTCCCATCCAGCCTTGCGGTTGGACCAGCGCTCTGGCTTGAACTCCTCGGCATCCTCGCCCCAGAGGTCCTTGCGGCGATGCATAACGTGGACGCTGTAGACAACGGCATTGCCCTTCTTTAGGTAGACGGGGGACTCGCCGTCCGGACCACCGCCTCGGGGCAGAGTCGTATCACGAGTAGCCTGGCGGCGGTTGAATGGGACAACCGGGTACAGACGCAGAGACTCGTTCATCACGTACTGCAGGTACTGGCAGTTCTTGAGCGCGGTGAAAGTAAGATTCTGGGGGTTGGAGTAGGTGCCGAAAGTTTCGATGATGGTCTCGCGCAGCTTGCGGAAGATCTCCGGGTTGCGAGCGAGCATGAGGAAGGTCCAGCTGAGTAGCGAAGCGGTGGTGTCTCGGCCGGCCAGCAGGATGTTTAGGAGCTGCGAGCGCAGTTCGATTGGGTCTTGAGTTACCTCGACCAAAGCGTTCAGGAAGACGTAGTGGCCGGACTTTTCGGCATCAGCCGGAGCGGTTTTCTCATTTTTGGCGGCCTTCAGGGCTCGGTCGACGACCTGGTCCACGAATGCGTGGACCTGCTGGTCAGAGTGGCGGGTTTCCTTGTTGTTGACGATGAAAGCGAGCCTCTCGAATCGAGATCGTTGGGCGCAGACCCACTGGGAGTTGTCGAAGTAGCCAGCGAATGAGTCTTCGATTCGCTGCAGTCCTTGAATGGCACCGAGCTGACTTTCCACGCTCTCACCGAAGAGGAATTCCGTTGCGCTGTCGATGGTCAATCGGAAGAAAATGGATTGGATATCAGTTGCCGCAGTCCATCCATTGGCTGCAACAGGGAGAGCCTGCATAGCCTTCTGAACATGGGATTCCTCGAGCTCGAGCTGGCTAACCTGCTCACGAGTGAACTGGGGCCGCAGCAATCCACGGGACCGAGACCATTCTTCTCCGTCAGCAGTAAACTAAATAGGAATATAGAGATTAGTATAAAAACGGATATTCCCCACTTGGGTGGATAGTGTGAGGCTTATGGCTTGCGCCTCCACCATTTAGGCGGCAACCATAGTATGACGTACAATTCCGGTACCCAATAGCGGGTGAACACTGCGACGACGAATTTCACCAAGCTCGAAGTCCTTGAATTGGGTTGCGAGCACTGCCTGGATGTTCTTGGGATCGACGGTGAAGTAAAGATCGCGACCGAGGTTGCGAATAATGAAGGTGGTCACGTTGCGGTTCTCGATGTCACTGATGGTTTGCACACGCTGCTCAGCGAGGGCCGGCAAGGCCTTAGCCTTGTCGGCGGCGAGCGAAGCTTTCAGATTACCGATTCCAAATGGGTCAGAGCATGGGTACATTGGCACATTGGCACAACCAAGCTCTCGAGCTTTGCGCGCATGTTGCCAGGAGTTAACCAGGGAACGGATGATATGTAGGATCACGGCGGCGGCCGTGAAGCCGAGTATAAAGGTTGGTGTCATGATGGCAGTGCGCTGGGAAGAGTGATCATCGACGATCAGGTTGAAGAGGGATCTAAGGGGGATGAGAATATATATCAAGATTTTCTATCATTTCTTTTGTACGGAGAACCAGGGCCTCGGTTGAGAGCATCATAGGGTGGGGGATGCAACACACAGACAGGATGATCCTAAGTTGATGGAACCAATGAGGGCTAGTACGGAGGTCAGTTACAATGGGCCGTCGGACTTCGCACTAATTACAACGTGGACTCCGATCAGATCGGTCGCTCGTGCTCGGTGTGAGAGTCGAGCCCGTGCCGGTTAGCCCGTCGAACCGTCTTTGTTCTTAGAGCCACCCGCAGAAGCTGAACTTGAATTTGCGTGTTTCACTAACCATAACAAAGAAGTGTAGCTTTTCACATTCCAGTTGTTAGAAGGGGCGTGCATATCCCTTAAAAGGAATGTGTAAGGACACAGTCAGATATGGACCATGGTTCCCCTTCTCTGTCTTCTCTTGTTTGGAGAGGTATCTGGGAAAATAAAATTGAAGGTCGGAAATTAAGCGACGACACAGCTGCAGCTAGGCAGCTAGGCCGCCTGGAAGGTCTGCAGAACAAAAGTGGCTCCCTTGGATCGCATTGCATTGCAGGGGGGGTTGTGGTTGGTTTTTGCAGTGGGAAGTGGAGACTGCCGAGGTCGAGTCTCCCCTATTTTTGCGATTATTCAACAAAGAGACAACTCTGCTATAGCGATGTACTCTGTAGAAATGTCATCCGTATCATCATTTCTTCCGGGATATTCAAAATCGAAATATCCGACAGAATCCTTGGACCTCGTAGCACCTGCACCTGCTCATGCCTGAGTGGGATACCGAATCTGCCGAATCTGCCGGAGATGGACATGCTTTCGACCAGATCATACCTTGAATTAGGAGGATTGCAACCCTCTCAACATAGGTTGAATCATCATTCACCGGGAGCCGACACACCAGAAAGTTCCCCTGCGACCGAGAAGTCCGATATCAATCTTTCTCCGCCAGGCAAGTCGGCCCCGCGCTCCGCCAAATTGTCAAAGTCCAACTCGGAGAAGACCGTGACTGTGGGTCATCCACGCAAACGAGGTCGCCCGAGACTTGAGACGACAAAGGATGCAGCTGCCATCGAGGTATCCAATCCAGGTGAACCAGTGAATCGCAAAGATCCCTTCACTAACTCCGCTGCAGGAGCGGCGACTTCAAATCCGTCGGGCGCAACGGACATACAGACAGAAGAAAGAGGCAACCATCCAGGCCCTCAAAACCCGCGTAGAACAGCTCGAACAGACCCTGCAGAATGTATCCGATCTGATGGGCCCAGAGCCCGAGGTCGAGACCTCTAACAGTCTGGTCAGTCATTTGGCGATCGCGCGTACAAGGCAGTTGGTCCTTGCGGAGATTGCAAGAGGACAACATCCATCGGAGGAAGGTGGAAATGGCAACGACTATGACCATCCTCACAATGGACAAAATACCAACACTCCACCCGAGACCTTCGGATATCATGTCTCCCCTCATTCTAATACAGAAGATCACTCAATTACGATCCACCCCCAAGAACAAGCTTACCCCCATCCCCGATCGCCATCCCCTCTTGTCAACCGCCTCTTCCCAACAACCACCATCTACACTTATAGCTACCAGGAATCCACTCTATCCCGCCGTCTCCAACGCTTCTGTCTAGAGCATACATATCGATGGCTCTCAGATGCACGATCAGAGCCCGACCTGATGGCCCGAGTCTTCGGTCTCATCCCATGCATCCATGATATGCCGGGCATCCGTCGTAATTACCGACGCATACTACGAGCTGAGATCGGCGACCCGCTAGAAGTGGCGGACAAGCTACCCTTCTACAAGCTCGGCGGCGCAGGTACCCACTACCCACGCACCGGACCAGACGGACAGCCCATCTACCCGGATCGATTGCGCCGGCCGGGGAAGATCCTGCGGCGGATGACGAGGATCTTGCAGCGGGGCGGAATCCAAGACTGGGACGAAGATTGGAGCGGGAATTTCGAGCCTGCAAATGATGGCGACGGGCGTTTGGCGATGAGTGATGCCGATTATCTGCGCGTGCTCGATCTCGATGGCGAGTGGTTTGATTGTCATGATGTTCAAGGGTACCTGGAGGATCGGGGGCTGACTCTTGATGGATCGTCGACGTTGTCGATGGAGGTTCCGGCGTCGACGGTTGGGTTGCTTTATGGTCTCTCGCCAGATCTTTCTGCATCGCAGTACTACGTTTCGCCGGTCGAGACGGGTGCGACGCAGTATCTAAGCTCGTCTCGTTATGTGCTCGATGTGGAGTCTTTCTTTGACCGTGAGTTTCTTACGTCCTACGGGGTCATCTGTTGAGCCTCAGGATAAGCTAACGCCATCTTCACTAGTACTTCTCGCCAATCTTCGCATTCTGGGACGAGCGCCGGGATTTCGACTGGGTGATGTTGATGCGGCTCTGCGGACGGCCATTCACCGGAGGACGCCGAGCTGATGGAAAGTAAGAAACTATATAATTTCTTTTTTGTTTAATGAGTGCTACGAGAGACGAGGAAATGAGCAGAACCATAGAATCACAGAAAATATGGGAAATCAATTTGTGATTCGCATTATTTGGCATTGGGTATAGTAATCGCATAGACATCTGGTCTTAAAAACTCTTGAAATGACGCGCGGGAAACATGAGCAAGAGTCCGGGGTAATAAGCAAGGCCAAGCCCATTCGGTGGGTTTTATTCATCGTGGATCGTCAAGGGCGTGTGGCTCTTCGATTCCGATCTTATCTCGGTGGGGAATCTCTTAGCAGCAGATCTCGCAGCACTCGAAGCAGGCCAGACCGGCGCAGCTGGAAGAAGTTAGTGTCTTGAAGATCTGTGGGAAAGTCAAGGCCCTTTTTTTGATGACTTACATTCCGCAGCAGAGACCACCGCCACCACCACCGCGCAGCTGCATGGACATACCCTCCTGGTTGGCCTGAAAGAGCAAATATTGATTAGTTAAAGATCGCATGGTGGGTAGTATTTGAAATGTGAAGACATACGGGCTGCTCAGAGACGACCTGCTGGTTGGTAGAGGGGGCAGCAGGGCTGGCGGGCTGTTGCATAGCGACAGTGTTGGAGTTCCAGGTGTTCTCGGGCGCAGAGTCGGACTCGGCCGGGGCAGACTTGAAGAGGTTGAAGTTGAACATTGTAGCGGGTAGATGAAGAAGGGAAGATTTTCTGTGGAGAGAGAGAGAGGATGGAGGAGGAAGAAGTGGTGGACACGGAAAGAGTGTTTGAGATGGTGTTTGAGGTTAATTGAGGAAGGGAATGAAAGAAAGCGTTCTGGAAGGGAGGGGGAAAGCGACAATTTAAATAAGTTTAGCCGGGGATCAGCATGAGAGATAATAAAAAAAAGGTACTTTTAATTAGAACAAACCAAACACTGTACTACTCCGTAATACGGTTCGATGTGGAGGATCGGCTTTTCATTATTTCCCTGGATTCGGGTTAGTGGCCCCAGTGCTTAAAGGGGGGGTCAGGGCCATGTATTCACGGCCTTTTCCCAAGGTTCCATTGAAAAGAACTCCCGCTAGGATAGCCTGCAGATTTTGGTGCTAAGTATAGCGTGGAACTAAGCGGAATGGTGCTGCCTATCCCCATTGCTGCGGCATCTCCGTACGAAACACTACGGAGTACACACACACACAATCACACCGCCACGCTGTGGCTTAGTCGTTACGCGGTCCACCGAATTCCGCGGGACGGAGAAAGAAATAAAAAACGACAGGTGTGGATATCGATTAACATTCAAATGATTTTCTATACTATTGATACCGGACCAGAGAGTGAGAGGACGCGCAAGACAAACCGCATCCCAAAAGGTTCAGCCCTTCAGCCCTAACTGATTTGATCAGCTGAGTGCCAAGACTCTTGGCACCCCACTGGTCACCGGATACTCGGCATAAACATAACTTCTGGTTATGAACAAGAACACACATGTCTTTACCTTTGCCTCTGCCTCTGCCTCTTTATAGCTTGGCAAGAATGCCATCGGGCTGCAGCACCGACAAATAGCTCTTTTGGATCTCGCCGATATTGCGGCACCTGAAGATGTTAGCGACACCGATCTCATATGCCACGAGGGGATAAACACGAGGAGATCTCACCCGGCCAACGCCATGGTAATCTTCAATTCTTGGCGCAGAATCTTGATCCCCAGTTCCACTCCTTCTTGTCCATCATACTACGTATGATCATCAGCAGGGGCCGCATGGAAGAATGCGCACATGAACTTGCGCGGGGAAGGGAGGGGAGGGGGGGAGACCTACAGCCAAACCCCAGATGGGGACTCGTCCCAAGAAACAGAAGCTGGCACCCAGAGCTAGCGCCTTGAAAATGTCCGAGCCTCGACGGATTCCACCATCAACCGCAATTGGCATACCTCCTCGTGCGGCGATAGGGGCGCAGATGCGCAGCGCATCAAGGGTGGACGGAGTACCGTCTAGCTGGCGCCCACCGTGATTGGAAACGATAACTCCATCAACCCCATACTTGAGAGCCAAATCCACGTCCTCGGGAGAACAAACTGCAGGGATCCACACATTAAAAAGGCCCTTCACAAAGGGGGGGGGGTCATGTTTCTTACCTCCTTTCAGCCAAATTGGCAGCGAAGTGTGTTCTCTCAGCCAGGGGATGGTACTCTCCCAGTCCAAACTAGGGTCTAAATAAAAAGTAAGTTCAGGTCACATCCACTTGAAACGGGCGAACTAACCGTAGTCGGTGCGGTCTGAGTGGTCACTTCCACTACTGAGGATATTGGGCCATTGCATGCTCTCCGGCAATGTATAGTCGTTTCTGTACTCATTCAACCGCTTCCCCAGCACAGGCACGTCTACTGACAAAAACAATGCCTTGTATCCCGCCTCTACAAACATCATTAGCATGCAATGAATATCAGTATTATCGAGAATAGCACCTACTCTCCGCTCGCTCCAGTAACTGTATTGTTAGTGATCGGTCCTTCAAAACACACATTTGCATAGCATATGGGTTTCCTAGACCCTGTGCAGCAACGTCTTCCAACGAGTAGTTCGAATAGGAGGATAGCCCCATTGCGATTCCATAGCTGGCGGCTGCGCGGGAGGTTGCTAGCTCGCCCTCTGGGTGTGCAAGCTGGTGGGAGGCACTGGGACTGAAGCCGAAGGGGAGGGAGACCTATCAGATCAATAGGGATGAGCGCAGTTCTTTTAAACGTTCTATTGCTTCCCGTTTCGCTTCAGAAATACCAACCTTAGAGCCAAGGATCTCAGTACTGGTGTCGATTTCCGCGACGTTGACCAGGATTCGGGGTCTAATTCGGTAGCGATCATAGGCGGACTCATTCTCGCGCAAACTAGCGGTTGGGATGGTTAGCAGACTCTCAATTTGATCTTTCTGGATGATTCATACGTGATCAGATCCATAGCTCCCTCATTGTAATAGTCTGCCGACTTTAGTCCTTGTTTTTGCCTTGGCTAACACAGAGTGGCCTACCTCGGACCATAGGGGATAGCCGCTTGCTTCCCAGCTCTTTAAGGTCTGCAATGCAGCATACATCTTTGTGGAGGGTCTCGCCGCGATGCGCCATGATTAATTGAGTTGTGATATGTGTAGAAGTAAAAAAAGGGAGAATTGGAGAAAGTTACGAAGACGATCACAATAAGTAAGTTACTTTTACACCCGCGAAGCTACAAAAGATTGCAAGCACCATCCGAATTCGAACACATGCTCGCATGACCTTCCAAGTGTATACATTTACTAACACACGAAGAGGAACCGGCTTCCTATCGCAGAGTCCCTGCAGGGTAGCCTTCGGAATCACCTTCCTGCAACAGAAGAACCCCCGCAGCGCCGCCGGGACAAAGTATTAAAAGCGATGTTTGAACACGCAAAACACACAATTCTACATAGCTATTTCCTTCCAAACTAGAACAGCTCACAAGCAGTTTCCCTCAATCAATATGGCTCGCATCTTTCTGTGAGTTGTGGCCCGTCCGTTTTGAATTGGTGGCTTGCTTACTCTTTACCCCGGCAGGACTGGCGCCTCCGGCTACATTGGCGGGGATGTTCTCCACCTCCTTAAGACTAGTCACCCAGAATACGAGTGCAGTATCTTACTACGTGATAGTGGCAAGGCAGCTGCTATCTCCAAGGTATTCCCCGATGTTCGTGTCGTGCTGGGTGACCTCGATGCCGCCACTTTGATTGAAGAAGAGGCTGCCAAAGCGGATGTGGTTATCAGTAAGACTATCTTTGTTGACAAAATAGGGACATGAAGCTAATTAGTTTGAAGATGCCGCTAGTAATAAGAACATGACTTGCGTGGAAGCCATTGCCCGTGGTCTCAACAAGCGCAGCGGTGCTAAGCCCGGTAAGTTAAGTGTTAATTCCCTACAATGCAATCCTGAAAGGTTAATAAAGGTGCGACAGGCCACTGGATCCAGGTCTCTGGTGCAAGTGTTATTTCAGTTCCCGATATTCTGGCTGGCACCTTTGGCGAGGGCTCCAGCAAGAATTACGGTGATGTCGAGAATGCCGAAGAAGTCCGCGATATCATCAGCAAGAACGCAGGCATGCGGGTTGTAGACAACCACCTTCTGAACAAGGTGACCGGCCCTCAGACTGCCATCATCTTCCCGCCTATTATCTACGGAGAGGGCCGAGGTGTCACCAAGCAGCGCAGTGTACAGATCCCCGAGCTTTCACGGGTGGCAATCGAGACGCGACAAGTCGTTCAGGTGGGCAAGGGAGAGAGTACCTGGAGCAACATTCACATTGCCGATCTCAGTGATTTGTTTGTCAAGCTGGTTGAGAAGGCCGTCCAAGGCTCGGAAGAGGCGTTGTGGAATCAAAACGGACTTTATTTCGTTGGAAACAGCATGCTGGTAGGTTAGCTCGACCCTTCAACAACTGACCAGAGGGCTAATTTGTGTGTTCAGTCCTTCGGCAAGATCTCACAGCTCGTCGCGGAGGCCGCGCACAGTCTTGGCTTGACTGACACAACGACTGTCAAAAGTCTCAGTGCTGACGAGGCGGATAAGCTATGGGCGCCTGCTAGAATATTCTGGGGTACCAACGCGCGCATGGAAGGCCAACGAGCCTCGCGCCTGTTGGGATGGTCTCCACAAAAACACTCAGTCGAGCAGGAGATTCCGACAACCGTCAAGGTGGAGGCCACTCGACTAGGCAAGTTGTGAGGATAGGGACCAATTAGATCCAATGGAACGAATTAGATAGTAAAATGCTAGGGGTCCATGGGCTGAGGTCATGGTATCCATTTCATCCCATGGTTGTGGAGGGGCAAACAGTGAAGATAGAAAAGAATGATAAGCAAAATGAATTTGGCAAGTCACTCCGACCACGGGTTTGCGGGGCTCCAAGCTTCCATCTCCCCGGATTTTCATTCCTCGCCATGGACTTCATTGATTTGAATTAATACAAGCAATTCCGATTCCTGAATCAATTTGTATCAACAGGCTTAGTACTATGGCGAGCTCAAAGCGAGCGCGCGCCCGCAGATCCCATGTACTGGGTGGCTGCAGTACTTGCAGACGGCGACATGTCAAATGCGATCAGAAACGTCCGGCATGCCGGACTTGCCGAGCTCTTGGGGTTACATGTGAAGGATTTCCCGATCAAGTCCTTTGGATGCGTGATGATGAGCTCGGCGATGTCGATGGGAGCCACCGTGGCACTCGCCGACATCTCTACACAGGTATGGGGCACTTGATACGTTTTTTCTCGCACAACCAAGCTAATCAAACGAATAGAGGAATCTCGGCTGGCTATGAGCACGGCCCTCGGAAGCAATCTGATTTCTGGTTCTATTGATGCATCCTTGGCCGAAGTCGACACAAGATCGCGAGACCCAGATCGGTCACTCAATCATGACATTGTCATCGGTCCCTTTGCAGTCCTTGACTTTACAGGATCGGCCTCAGAACATCCAGCAGAAGAAGATTCTGTGGCAACACAGGAGAATGAACCAGCTTCTATCGATCCATTGCCTGTTGGAGACTCGATAGATCCAATCATTCCTTTGGAAATTCTGGATTCCAGCCCGGTGTCAATAATTGACTCACTATCTCAAATGGACGATTTCCTACATTGGTCCGACCTTCTTAGCTTCAGTCCTGACCAAACAGGATTCGCGACTCATCCAACTCTAACTATGCCTAACGATTTATCATTTGATCTCACGAACGATGCCCTACTTCTTCAGAATTTCGCTCAAGGCCCAGAAGATCCCATGCAAAGGATGACTCCTCGGCAAACTCCAATAGAGATGGCCTCCATGGAAACAGACGTATCGAAGGAGGCTCAATTCCTACTAAAACACTTTCAAGATATTGTTATTCCTCAAATAATGGCTATTCCATTTGGCCAGAAGTCCCCATGGAAAATTTTGAACCTACCAGCGGCGGTCGTGGCATTTGGCGACACAACCTTCCTCGGAACAGAAGGGATAAGCCATGCTAGACTTGCGAATCTTTATGGCCTTCTTGCGTGCTCAGCTATTGATCTGGCCCTAAAGCCACCATCAGACCCGACACAATCTACCGAGCATTGGCTTCGGATTGCAAACCAGACATATCAGAAAGCAAAAGACCATATCCAGACGTCTTTACAGTACGAGACCCAGGGCCCAAAGAAGGCAAAATACAAGGACCAGCTTATGGCTGCCAATATTCTCACACAATATGCAGTAAGTCCCTTCACTTCCCGCTGCGAACTTTCACGAGCCTTCGCTGACGAATTTAGATTCTATCCGGGCAACAACAGCATGCTCGCTGCTTTTTGATCGATGCAGAAAGGCTGCTACGTCTCCGAGGACTGTCAAAGCGGCGAATATCTAAAAAAGCGCGCTTATTACATCATGTCTACACTTGGCTACGAATAGTGGGCGAAAGCACCTTCGTCCTCCACGATTACAGCCTCTCCTTTTCATGCCTCGCGTCACTTGGCACTTCATCACGATCCCATGCTTCTAGCCTGGCGAGCAACAACAATACGATAGTACCAAACGAGCCCAATTCCAAGCTCGATGACTTTCTGCGCCTTGAAAACCAAAATTCAGACAGCGACCTCAACATCGACGAACCCAAGGATCGAGCCTCTGGGTTCCACGACATACATCTTCACGACTCCCGCAGCTTCCCCGAAACCCTATACAAGCAAATCTATGGAATCCCAGAAACATGGCTCAGTCTAGTATCTCAGACCACAAGACTGGCAAATGTTTTGACGACATTTCTAGTCGCCCGAAACTTGGGCAGAAATATCAGCCTCGAGGCCTGGGAATGTATACAACGCCGTGCAACGCGGCTGGAAAATCTCATCTGCTCTTTCAATCTCGGTCTAGCGAGGGGCAGAGTCACTGATCTCCAGGCCGCATCCAAACCACATGCGCACATGTTGGAAGCTCTGAATAGCGCGCTCGTCATCTTCTTCTACCGCAGGATTCGCGAAGCTCACCCGGCTGTCCTACAAGGGCATGTCGATAGCGTAATTTACGCGCTCGGGGAATGCAAAGCCTCGCTGTTAGAAGACGGCCCGACGGGGCCTGGGACAGCTTGGCCTGCTTTTATTGCTGGATGTGAAGCTCTCACTACGCCACGGCGTAACGCGATTATGCAATGGCTCGATGATGCGAGCTCGACGTGTGGGTATGCATCATTTGCTACAGCCCGCGACATAATGGTCAAATCATGGCAGAGACAAGATGAGCACTTGGCAGCGAACCGAGGTGATTCGATGCCATGTTGGATTGATATTGTGAAAGAGGAGCAAATTTGGCCCCTCTTCTGTTGAAGCCCTTTCTACATTTGTCTTCATACCACCATTTGTTTATTTATTTAATGACTGTGACTACTAGCGATTACTCTGCATAGTTATACTCCATGAAGAAACGATGAAGTGACTCATTGCCGTGGCATAACATTCTCTCTATAGTAAATTTTCACATAAAAACGTAAACAGATCTAGATAGTCTTCACACCAGCATTCTGAAGCAATTGCTTCAGCTCAGCCTGCAGCTCAGGCTTGAGAAGGGAGAAAGGCTTCCGCAGGCCACCAGTAGGCTGCCCAATCAGCTCCACGCCAGTCTTGACCGCACCGCAGTAGTTGTGTGCCTCGAGGAACTTGCAAATAGGGAAAGCCTTAGTCCAGAGCTCACGGCCACGCTTGAGATCTCCCTGCACAGCAACGGCGTCCCAAAGCTCAACAGCCAGTTCGGGGATGAAGTTTGCGGCTCCCCACACGCCACCGGGGCATCCAGCCGCGAGACCGTAGAAAGTAAGGGTATCCCAACCATTAAAGGCTGTGATTTTATCCGAGAGACCGAAAATCAACTCTGTAAGGGCTGGCGCGTTGCCAGATGTATCCTTGAGGTACTTGACGCCAACCTTGGACAGACCGGCAATCTCTGTTGGAGAGAGGGTCAATCCAGAAGCACCGGGGATGTTATAGTACATAATAGGAAGCTTGGACTTGGTGTGGATCTCGCTCAATAGCTCCTCCAATTGCTCCAGGCTAACGGGGTCGTAGAAAGGAGGGACGACCATGACGGCGGTGGCACCGGCTTGGCCAGCGTGGACGGAGAGCTCGACGGCTTCATCGTGGGAGCAGCTGCCGGTACCGATGATGACGGGAACGCGGCCGGCGGCGTACTTAACGCAAAGCTCGGTGAGCTGCTTGCGTTCGCTTGTGGACAGAACTGTGAATTCACCAGTGCTACCGCCGGGCACAAGGCCGTGGACGCCGGCCTTGATGAGGTGCTCAATGTGAGCCTGCAGACGGCCTTCGTCGATCTTGGTCTGATCGTCGTTGAAGGGGGTGATCAGGGCCACCATGATACCCGTAAGTTCGGAAGACATTTTGAAGGCTGTTGTTGATGTTGATGTTGTTGGTTTGGAAGGATGTGTTTAGATTTGAAGGAGGTTTGGAGGGGTAAAAGATGGAGGGGTTGTATGAGCTGATCTAGTGAGTGCGAAAGTCACTTGTAAATATACTTGCATAGAACGGAGTTGCTTTCTTCTTGTGTTCAACTTGGTCCCTAATCCATCCCATGCTGGCTGGTATAGATAGGTGGGGTGGATTTCTATAGGTCGGAATGACCTGCCCCGACTTGGTGGACCCACCACATTTGGGGGAATGAGACTCCGACCTGCCGGGTACGATTAATTTGATGGTATACAATGGTTATTATTAGGTAAATTGCCAGTGTCTTAATATTATGCTCTAGCTAGGCAGGCTTGAAAGCACTTAAGTTTCTTTTTTGCTATCCATGGATGGCGTATGGGCGCAAACATCGATTTCCAGTAGAACTAGTACTAGTAGTTTCCAAAGTTTCCTGAAGTTTGTCAAAGTCAAAGTCCAAATAAGGTAGTAGTATCTTACTTTCAAACCATGTCTAGTTTTCTACTACTACTAGTATCACTTCTACTGGTAGTTTTCAAAGTTCTAATGCTTCAAGTTGACAAAGGCCATCATGGATTGTTCTAAATTCTATCATAAACACATTCATCTATATACATTGCTCTGGTCATCTTCATAGCTTGTTGCCCATGTTCACATGAACGGCCTTGATCTGGCTATAAGCTTCTAGACCTGCCTCGCCAAGCTCACGACCAATACCACTCTGCTTGACACCTCCGAATGGAACCCGGGGATCACAATCCTGGCTGCTGTTAATCCAGACCATACCGGACTCAATCTCGGAAGCAACACGATGAGCGCGCTCAAGGTCAGTAGTGAACACTGCGGCGCCTAAACCATATTGGCTGTTGTTAGCACGTTGGATAGCCTCCTCCTCGCTATCGAAAGGCAAGATGACAACAACGGGTCCAAACACCTCCTCTTGAACAATACGCATGGAGTCTGTGACATCTGTGATAACTGTAGGTTGGACGAAGTATCCATTCTTGTTGCTCAAATCGGCAGGAGTATGAGGAGCACCACCGGTCAAAATAGTAGCGCCCTCACTCTTAGCAATCTCGAAGTAAGACAGAATGCGCTCATATTGCGCACGAGTGACCTGGGGACCTTGGAAGGTATTCGTGTCCCACTGATCGCCAATCTTCACCTCTTCCACGGCCTTCTTGAAGTTCTCCAGGAAAGTAGGTAGAATATCACGGTGCACGAAGATCCGCGAGGTGGCGGTGCAGATTTGGCCCTGGTTCGACATGATACCAAAGTGCGACCACTTGACTGCTTGGTCCATATCGGCATCAGGAAACACCAGCAATGGCGACTTGCCTCCAGTCTCGAGAGTAATATTCTTCAAGGAACCTGCTGCCATCTTCATGATTTCCCTGGCGGTTCCAGTGGATCCAGTGAAGGCCACCTTATCGACGAGTGGGTGAGATGCCAGGGCAGCACCTGCATCCCGACCGTAGCCGTTGACGATGTTAATCACACCTGGTGGGAAGCCAGCTTCCTTGATCAGCTTGCCGAGAATGAGCGCGCTGAGAGGGGTTTGCTCTGCAGGCTTCAGAACAATAGTGTTGCCGCAGGCCAGAGCAGGTCCCAGCTTCCAGCTTGCCATGGCCAGAGGGTAGTTCCAGGGAATGATCTGGGCAACAACTCCGATCGGCTGACGGATGGTATAGGCGAACTTCTGAGGGGTGGTGTTGATGGTCTGTCCAAAAGTCTTATCGGCCCAGCCACTATAGTATCGAATAGTGGTGATGGCTTCCGTGAGATCTTCCTCGAACGCGACATGGTAGGGTTTTCCTGGGATAAGATTTAGCTTATGCATAAAAATTGGCAGTTATACAGAACCAGGCCTACCATTATCCCAGGCGTCGACTGTGGCTAAGAGCTCCCTGTTTTTCTCAAGAAGGTCGGCGAGACGACCCATCAGCTGGCCTCGCTCGGTTGCGGGGAGGAGCTTCCAGGATGGATGAACCAGGGCAGCTTTGGCGGCTTGCACTGCGCGGTCGACATCTTCGGCACTAGCAGCATCGACAGTGGCAATGGGTTTATCTGTGCTGTTCAGAATTAGTCCATTGCATGGGATATAGAAATAGAGAGCTCTGGAAGAACTAACGCGGGGTCCAAGGAGGTGATGGTTTGGCCGCTGGTCGCTGGAACAAACTCGTTGTTGATAAATAGCCCGGTGGGCTGCTGGTAGCGCTGCCCATTGGGGGCGACAATCTCCACTGAGGCCATTTTAGAGAATATGAAAAGATGCGGGAAATTAGAATGGAATTAGGAATAACATTGGAGGGGGTAGTGTATATAGTACTTTGAGTACTACTCCGTAGTTATCAGCAAGAGGGGCAGAGAAGTGGGCCGCGCTTTGAGAAAAGGGCAATCAATTCCGACGACGGGGAAAACTAGTCTGTCTCCGTTAGGTCCATGCGGAGAAGCTCCGAGTACCGACAGAGGGTTTCATTGTCATTTTTATTTGCGTTTGCATTTGCATCGCTTATTCGAGGGTCAACGATAAAATTCTTCCTCTTGTTTTATTCCATAGCCAATTCCGAACATAGGAGGGCGGGTCAAGGATACTAGTAGTAGTAAGCTATACTAAGTATCATTTATTACTAGTAGCCTTTCAAGTGAGGCCCTCTTCTGGGATGCCATATTGTCCCCATAAAGTACTACTAGCTGTTATCGTTCAAGTTTATTTCCATTTGGGAACTGAAGCGATTTCGGTATATTCAAGGCTAGAGAGAACCTCTTATGTACAGTACTAGAGTCATGATATTCAAGCAGAAACTGATCACAAAGGTCCTCATAATCCACGCGTTACGTTACACCCCTTTCAGCCATGTACAGAGAGAGAACGGGGATCTACAAATGTTGTGTAACAAGGCTGCCGATCCTGATTGGTAGATCAACCGGTTCGTTGCATCAAAGTTAAGATGAACACGAGAGAGCTCTGGCTCGCATGAACCATGAGTCCCAAGAGAACCTCTTAACAACCCGGTACATAAAGTACGGAGGTAGTACTAATGTACACAAATACGAAGTCGAGATGCAAGTAGCTTCCGTTTGAATTTGTCTTATGGATATTACTGGTAACGTATGTGATTCTCACCCCATTCCCTGCCAGTTTGACCTGTAGAGAAGCCAGGCAAATCCCAGCCACCGAGATGTCACTTTCAAGCTAACTAGAGACTAGAGATAAAACATAGAAACTATTTGTTTTGAGTCCCTTGTCCCATTCATTCTTTCTGAATATTACTTTGATCCCGCCCCTCGCTTAGGAAACAAAGCATTCTCATACACTTTTGATAACCGGTCCTATGTTGGGGGCTATCAATTGGTCAATCTCACAGAAAGCTGACGTTGTCGGGCATCAGCTTACAAGAAATTAACTAATACGTAGAGATTCCAGTCACATAACGAGCCACAACATGCTTGTCAAGTGGAAATATCCATGCACGGAAGACCCACAACGTTGCCCATTTCCGGCGTTGATCCCTGCAGTGCTCTGTAAATCATAGCAGAAGCTGTTAGTTGCATGAATGGAAAACTTTGTCAATCATTCAGCCCGGGATAAAAGTCCACCCGGTCGCCAACTGTCTCGAACCGCGATTCATATTCTTTCGACCGCAACCCATAACCCTTGCTTGGGACTTGAACTCAACTGCATGAGTACCCCACGATCTGCAGTCCCTTGTCAAGTACATAAGCGCACACTCTTCATTTCTCGTCATTTTTTCATCTCCAATCTGAGCTCTGGAGACCCTGAGCCTGTTCTATTGCCTCCTGAACATTGCACCGATATGGCAGATGTAGATGGAAATGGCAAGCCAAACTCTAGTGATGGTCCGAACGAGTTCTCCTCACTCATCCCCAGG